TAAAGCATCCTTAAATAAGTTAAAGGCACTAAGAATTACTTACTGCAAATTGACCTCGGTATTTCAATGTGGTTTCATCAGTGATCTCTGCAAGACTAGAATCATTTATTATACTTAAAAGTTAAATACCCTCAAATCACAATCAGGTATTTTATTAGCTTCATTGAGAGCAGCTTTTTTTTCCTCTAAAATAATTCAGCGGAAAACAAACTTTCCCTCACCTCTGCTGAGGATCATCCCTTCATTTTAAACAAAGGTACATTTCCTCATTAAGAGAGGAGTTTCCCCCAAAAAATTGCTGCACAAAACATGGCAGGGATAACTTTAAAAACATGAGGTTTACAATTCCAACAGATCATTCACAAGGTTGAACTGGTCAGCAAGGAGCAGGTTTAGCTTTTTTTTATTATGAATTTTGCAATCCCCTTTGAATGTAGCTGAGCAAATACGATTTAAATCATTCCCTGGGGTCTAGGTGACATTCACATGACATGACACATACTGTACATTATCTGAAACCTGACAGTAAAACCCAGAGGGAAATGGCTCTCTAATGAGAAAGATGGTACAGCTACTAACATTATGCTGTCCCTTTGGAAGCTGTTTTGTCACTGTGTGGTAGGAAAGCTTTAAGGAAGAGTAAACTTTTTGGCAAACTATTTCACTGGATGGATAAGTCCTTATGCATACAAAGATGTCACAAACAATAATTGAGTTGAATGATCTTCTGTATTCTCTGTTTTTGCTCTAGATTAAGCTGTACTTATAAATGTTGCAAAATATGTATAATATTGTGTAATAAAAATTATACTGAATGTGGCTGTGTGGAATTATAACTACTTTAAGTATATGTTTTTCCGAATTCTCAATAATTTGCGGATATAAAGCATAAAAATTCAAGAAAGGTTTTACAGGTGACTCTTGCAACATAGAATGCTTTGCCACAGCTTTGTGTGAGGTGGAGACCATGCCTTCGGTCACCCTCCTTCCCCCCCCTCTGACCACCACCCTCCCTGATCCCAACCTCCAGCACAGGTCCGAAACACCAATTGTCCAGCACCTTGAGATGTCCTCCCAAGGTGAAAGGTGCTATACAAATGTAATTTTGTTGTTGTTGTGGTTAACTTTAGTATATCCTGTAAAGACATTCTGTATATTCGTGCATATTCTGTGCTGTAATTTCTGTGAATGTCTAAGTACAATTTTATATTGTTTGATAATATTGTGATAAACTGATACATAAATAAATATCCCCTGCATTTCATATAGGGCCTTTCAAGTCCAGAGGCTGTCTCAAAGCACTTTACAGGATATACTGTAGTAAGCGTAGTGACTATATTTTGTGGGCAAAGGTGGCAACCATTGAAGTCTATATGTACATATTTGTGCTTTGGGGAATTAAATACAAAAGTAATGTTAAATTATATTTTTCAATTGACCAAAATCGGAAGTAATTGAGTTTGTCTTACTACAGAATAAGGTATGATTGGATTCAACTTGGTTTCATTTTCTTAAGATCTTCTTATGCTAAGATACTTATATTTAGGGTCTGTGCTACAGAGAAAGTCAAATTGAATAATGCCACTTCACTCCCACAGACAGGATTATATTCTGGAGCTTTTTGCTCAATTGCCTTTTAGACAGGACATCTTTGTAGATCTATCTCCAGGAGATAAAGTAGATGTAGACATCCATAAATAGTGAAGATTTTGCAAGGGAAGATTTTGCAGACTGTGGAAGGTGCAAGTTTGATGGGACAAATGGTCTTTTTTGGTTCCACGTGTCTGCTATCAATTCTACAGTTATGGCGTAGGCAGAACAAACCTTAATTTTATTGCTCACATTACCCTTGAAGAAAAACAGACTGAAACAGGGACATTGCACACAAAATATGGTAATCCATGTTAACAGAAAAATACGGTGACCGCAGAACATCCTTTTAAGGAACCACAAGTTGTTTTTCAGTACATTGCAAAAATGTCACAATCTTTGTTCTTTCAGCCTGTTTATCATGGATAAATGGCATTAAACACCAAGCATCAACATATACAATAACAGCTGCTGCATGCTCAACATTCCCCCAAACTGAATAAAGACATCCCATAAAATTAAACCAGTATATATAATAAAAATAACAGATTTATTTGGATTATACCCACTCAAGATTTAAGATTCATCTGCATCTCTTAATTAGATTATTTCCTCGCAATCACTCCCAGGAGTCATTCTCTGGGAAACTGTCATATGTCCCTCTGCCTGTCAAAAGAATGAATCCCCAAATTACCTCTATCAAGTCATATAATTTATCACTGTCTGCTGCAACACCCCCTCCCTTGCCAGCATCAAAGAATCCTCAGGACTAGAAGAGACTATTACAGCCAGTCAATCTGGCCGATCCCAACATGGAAAAGATGAAAAGTTAAGAAAGGAACTTGTACTTTTATAGCATTTTCCATGGCAAAACATCGCAAAGCACTTTACTGTAACTATTGCCAAGAGGCTTTTTCTCATATAGGCAAACACAGTATCCATTTTCACACAAACAGCCATGAGGTGAATAACTAATTTTATTGTTGGCAAGGACACCAAGAGAAACTGACTTTATTTTTCAAATAGTGTCATGGATCTTGGTTTAATATCTCATCCCAAAGATGTCACCACCAACAGTTCAGCTCTAATAATAATAATAGCATTTGATATAGTGCCTTATTACATTATCAAGATGCGTCAAAGCGCTTGAAAAGATAGACTGTAAAGTGACGTAACTTGGGTATTTTGTGTGCAGATTCAGCAGCCAATTCACAGAAAAGTGAATGATCAATTTTATTTGGGAGATTGTTGGCCAAAACACCAGGAGAAACTCCCTTCTCTTTTCGAATAGTGCCATGGGATCTTTAACACCCACCTGAACAGACAGACAGGACATTGGTTCAATGACTCATCCGAAGGCTGACACCACCACAATGCAGCACACAGCTAACATTGCAATGGAGTTTCAAGTCCTGACTTGGGACTCTTCTCCATGTACCTCACTAGAGTGGTTGAGTTCAAGTTTCAGTGTGGGATATGAACCCATAAGCTTCTGATCCAGCCATAAAACCAAACTGACAGCCTTCCAAACTTCCATCCAATCCAACCAATGCTGCATCAAGTTTGTTCTTAAGTAAGCTGAGTATCCTGATTTCCACCACCCTTCCTGCTAACCAATTTCCAATTATCAAATACCCTTTGTGTAAAACAAATTTCTCTAAACTTGTCTTTCCTAAACTTGCTCTTCATAGCCCTGAACCTATTACACAAACATAGTTTACAGTCATAATTACAACTTGATTGTATTTATTGCAGCACATTACCTACACAGTTTAATTACTCAGTGACAGGCACAGGGCATAGCTTTGGCTGGCAAATATTTTTCATTGGCAATTTGGAATAAAGTGAAATTAGAACAGAGACCTCAAATAGTCTATGAAGATAACCGGGTTATCAAAAGCACCTCTGAGTAACTTGCCACGATGCAATCTTTGAAACAACATAAGTTATTAATCTGACTTTTATCAGCAGAGGCCACAGAATGTTCCAATAAATCACTTCCTCAGATTGGTTAAAAGCTTAATACAGATGTTAAGCAGCAAAGAGAATCTCAAAGAACCAGAGCCTCAATACTGCCATCTACCGGTGGATCAGCACAATCAGCAGTATTTCCACATATAGCAGCGACTTACAATTAAGAGAAAAGTACAAATCTAAATCAGCCTGGAAAGTGAAAAAAAGGCTAAATGATCATGCAATACCATCCTATGTTACAGGTGGAATGAAGAATAATCATTCACCTCTTGGCTATGGAATAAAACATTACAGAATTCAATATGACTAATATTCAATATTACTAACAGAATTCAATAGCTAATATATCTGTGTTAAATATGAAAAGGTACCAGTTCAGATACCCATTCACCAGCTCAGGGTGTGTCCAGAGTTGTAATAGGAATTTAAGTGGTTACAGATCAGATTGGGGAAATCACATGATGCATAACTCATTCCTTCATGTCCTACATCTGGATTATGCCTACTTTATACTGCACTTTTTAGAGACAGCATGATCATGAAGACCATTTTCAAGAGGTAGTTTCAGCAAAGTATTGACTCACACTGCTGCATTATAAATGCAGGCCATATATATTGATTTGGCTTATGTTCAAAAACAGTCCATTTTGTAGCTCAGAGGTTTTACAGGACTATTTTTAAAGAGTTGTTCCCTTTCAAAAAAGGTCAGAGGTTTTTACGGGACTGTTTTAAAAGAGTTGGTCCCATAGTTGGCTCTCCATTTTATTTATTTTCTCTGCCAATGTTCTTTGTTTCTCATCTCCTTCAGGCATTTGACTGATTTTTTTTCCCTATTGGGGCAAGATTCCACAAGTGACAATCATAACAAAACTAATCCTGAACTCACCTAACAACACACATACCTACCTTTCTAGCAGGATCTTGATTGTGCAGTGCAACTGTCAGTGCCTTTACCCACAAGGTCATCAGGAGAGCCAAGCAACTGGCTCTACAATTTATATGTCTTTTGTTACTTCAAGCAGTGCTTGCATTGCACAAAGACCCCCCAAAAATCCAAAAACAAAATAAACATCTGGCAGGGAGTTAAGGCTCAGGGTTTTTGCTTACTTTCATAACTTATGACATCACCTGAAGCACTCAATTAATTACTGCCTTGTAACATTCTGCCAGCACATATCATTATATAATATACAAGATGTTGTTTGCCAGCATCAGTCAAATAAAAGCTTCATATTGCTTCGGCTTGAGTAACAAAGCATATTCATAATTTATTTGTTGGCCTCAATTAGAATAGTTACTTCTCCATTCCATTATTAACTCCATATCAAAGTTTCCTCAAAAGTTTATTTGTTTTGAAAGAACAAATATCTGGGCACCAGTGAAACATCTCAAAATTCAGCAAGTTCATCTCGGCTGCATAGAATGAGATACTGTACCTTACATTCCACCACACTCTGATCCGACTCACAGGTGACATATATTTCATCCACTGCCCGTCTCAGATTGTCAAACAGAAAGGCCCAGTAACGTGCTCGTAAATCAACTTTTCGGGACTGCCGGCCCTTCGTAGGACTTTTTCTATTGTGTTTTTTTCTCCAACTGTGTTCAATGTGGCTTTGTTCTCAGCTGAAGAAACCTGCAAGACAGATAGATGGTAATTCATTGATAAAACGATCTAATTTTGAAACATTTCCAAATGAGGAATCAGAGTCGCTCAAACAACGAACGTGGAGTTACTTCAAGAGTTCAGTTGGAAGCGTTTACTTTTTCAGCTATCTATCTGTAACCTTTACACCTGTCCATCTTCCAAGTAAGCATGTTTAGTCATCTTTCCACATGCAGCCAATACTATTCCATATTTGTTTGCAACCTAGCTGTAGTACAAATGTTACAAGACAGATTATAGAATGGACAATATTAATGGTGCCAAAACAAGTGTTTTTATGGTATTTCAGGATCTTAATGCATCCACATTAGAACAAATGAATGAATCTTCTACTTAATTTGTCTAATTCCGGTGCATTTCATTGATAGTTAACTACACAATTAATAATATGTTCGAACATGGCAAGTCCTTGGGCTGTTGGCCCAAAGTGCACTTTAGACCCTAAACCAAACATTTCCATTTATCCATTAAGGCAGTTTATAACACAAAAGAGAGAGGATTTGGTCCATTGGGCCTGTGCTGGTAAAGGGATAGTTTGCACTGGTCATCAGAAACAAATTATATCAGTAGTCTTAACTTTTCACACAACCATTGCAAGACGTTTTACATACAAACCAAACTTGTTGGTTACAACCAGAGCCACACCTCCATTAATTCAGGGCAGATTCATTGATGTCTGGGTCAATCTTTGGAATGGATTGGAAATTGTGTTGTGCACTCTTTAATTGAAAGATGAAAAGAAATATTATTGTACTCTTTCACACCTCCTGCCAACCAATTATTGAGTAAGACTGACAACAGCCTTGGAGAAATCTGCAGGCCACGACTGTCCTGACCTTGTGGCTGGAGACGGATGCATCCACTGCACATGACCTACAAATGAAATTAAAAATTACCTACTCTCTGCAAAATACAGAATGGGCATTGCTGGATTATGGAATGGCCACTGTACAACACTTCAAAATTGGGACAAATCAGTAAGTACATAGAGTTTGTATCAATATGTGCTTAATAATAAAATCAGTTTACCAGAGCAAAACTACTAGCAAATTATTTTGGCGTGTAACCCTATATAACTGCACAGAGCGAGGTACCAGTTGGCTAATGGAAAGGTCATCTACAGTCTCCAGACACCAGCTAGCCCTGACACCACTCATTTGTCACAGTTCGATAACTGCCACTCAAGGGAGAGGCAGTCCACCTTAGGGAGTAGGTTCCGACTGTGCAGCTGAATCTTGGCATTTCACCCTCCATTAGCTACTTGCAAGGGTCATGTTGAAACCAGCTGCAAGACAGCTGCAGTAATGGCAATACAATGCTCAGATCCACTTCTGATCAGTAAAGAAACTCTTAATCCAAGAAAGGGAAATTTGTAATTATGCTTTCCAAATAAGTGGTTAACATGGTAAACAATACTGGACTATTTATCTGGGCAATCAAAGCACAGGAAACATTTCTACCATCAGCATTCATAAAAAAAAACGAAACAACGGCAAACTATACATTTGCAAAGCTGCAATCAGGAAAAAATGGGGAGTAAGGGCAAAAAGTTGGTAGGATTATTTAAAAGTTTGCAGAAACTCAAGAATAACATTAAATAAGAATTCATGAGCCTTCATTTGAATTCACTTCCCAAACTTACATTACCCAGTTCCTGCAATACTCAATTTCCAGTTTCCATGCTGACATTCTCCAGCACAATCAATAGACCCAGCAATCTGCTCAGTCGTGCATTGCTTGAAGCCTGACCTCACACAGGCCATATCGGCTTTAACACCAAGAACAAAATCCCAGCAATTTGGAAAACAAATCAACGATTTTGTCTTTTCCTTCCTCTTCTAAACTGTTCGTAAAAAGCCGCTTAAAATCCACAGGGTACCAGGAATTATAGGTCAACATCATGAACACGCTTAGCTCTGTGTGCAGCTCAGCTCCATTTCTTTGTGGATAAGAACATTTTGAGCAATTTGTGGGTTATGATAGGGACTGTAATCCTACAGTATTTGATCATTTGTAATAACACACTTATGTAGGATAAACATCTCAGAGCAAAAACAACGTGCACCTTCAGAAAACGCCGTAAAGCACTTCACCTAAACAGAATAGAAGTCAAATTCTTGAGATCATCAAGCAAGAAGAAAAGGAGCAGGAGTTTGAGAAGGCTGATCAGATTTTAGCAGGGTTTTCAAAGCAGGGAAAGAAGTCGCAACGCAAAGGGAGTTGGGGAGAGAAGGTGGTCAAGGAGCTAAAGATTCTGCCACCAATGGCAGGATGAAAGGAATGAAGAACGAGCAATATAAGAAATGTGGAAGACAAGCACAATCGGTGACATAACAATGACGCACTCGTTTTTTATGGCGGGTGGGGGAAATGTCAAAAGTGCTCTAAGTCGAAGGGCATTTTTGGATAATCCAAGAAATTTGATTCTCACTTTACTTGTGATATGAAAATCCCTTCCTATACACAAATCACAAGGATAAAATTGCAGATAAAACTGTATTCTATATCCCAGCATCTTACAAAGAGTTCAGAATTAAATCTTAGAATATAAACTGCTGATTCGCATATATAAAAAATGTTGATGTTTTTCATTTAAAGGCCAGGAAAATTTGAATGATTTCAGCCCAATGTCAACGAAGCACCCTGGGTCAATTTAATAGTACACTCAATATTTATCACATCAGATGGTTTGAAGGAGAACAGCAATTCCCCCCCACCCTGCTGCTGTGCTCAATGGCAATGACCAAAACGTCAGGCCCACAATGTGATGGTTAGCATGATACTGCTACAACTTGCATTTTATTGCACCCTTCACGCCGGACAGCGTCTCGGAGCACTTAATCAGAGCACTCGATTTCAAGATCCTCACCCTGGTATTCAAGTTCCTGCACTCTTCTACACCCCCCGACCTCTCTGACCTCCTCTCTCCTCAAAACAGCACCCGTTGCCTTCGATCCTCCGGGTCTGGCCTTCTCCTCGTCCCCCGAGTCCTCCGCTCCACCCTCGGCGGCCGTGCCTTCAGCCACTATGCCCCGAGGCTCTGGAATTCCCTTCCTCACTCCCTTCACTTCACCCCCCTCTCTTCCTACTTTCAGGACCCTTCTGAAGACCTTGCTTTTCGACCGCGCCTTTGGTCACCTTCCTCCCCCACGCTCGGCCCCGGGATTCGTTACTGTGAAACGCTCTGAGATGCCATCCGGCGTGGAGGGCGCTATATAAATCCAAGTTGTTGTTGTTCTTGTTGTTAAATTCAATAGGTTAACCGGTTGCCAAAGGCCATGATCCACGAGCCAAATGTCCAATGTCCAGCTTTTCAGACAATGCCCGAGAGCGATGCGAGGGAGGTATGGGGTGAGCCACATTTGATGTGCTAAATATTGAATAGAGAGTCACTGTCTGTTGAGGTACAGAATTTGGGTGTGATTTTTCTTCTTTTATTAGGAATAAGAATAATTCTAAATGTCACAACGTGAGAAATATGACTAAAGTAGACTTTAGCAGAAGGTATCACTTGTAGTTAGGCATTAATTTACCTGTCCTACCCTTCATATGACCTTGGTGCCAAACTAGCAGCTAAAACATTTTGGGTGAAAAGTTTCCAGTTAAGCAATGACTTTGTGCACAATAATAAATTGCTGCAAAACAATGTCTAATAGCAAAAAAGCCATTTTGGAGGCTGTAAACTGGTAATAATTCTGTCCTATGTTTTAATCTTGGAGTGTTGTGTTGCATATTTAAAGTGGTCAATAATTATTGATTTTCAACTAAACCAATCTCAATTTAATGTAAAATGCCCATGTCTATCCACTTATTAGGAGAAAGACACACAGATCCAAATGACCCCAAATCAAACTAAACTGGTTTGAAACAAGTATTTTCCTGCTACAGAGGAAAATGCATTGTACAGTATAGATTACAGCATATTATTGTATTTTTCAAATCTGATCAATCAAAAAAATGCTCAAGTAACAAAAACTAAGCAGCATTGTTCTTTTTTGAAAGCAGAATTGCATAACATTCAAATGTGTAATGTTGTCTTATCTGTGAGCAACTCAATATAAAGTAAAGGGTTAAAAGCATAATATTGCCATCTTGGGCCTTCTGCACGACTCAATAAAAAGGAGAGGATTTAAAACATAATACTGTCGTTTCAGGCCTTTTGCATGTCCCTTGACCACTCCACTATCAGTGGTCATGCTTTCAGCCACTGTGCCCGACCCTCAAACTTTCTGCCCCTTCGGTTTCCAGATCGCATCAGAAGACTTTTCTCTTCGACCGTGCCTGTGATCACTTCCCCTTTCACCCCAACTCTGGATCAAACTACACCAATGTTATGTGCTCTAAGATGCTATCCTACGTGAATGAAGGGTGCTACACAAATGCAAGCTGTTATTGTTACCTACACTAGATGCCCTCTTTGCTAAAGAGGAAGGTGCATTCCACATTAGGTTCATTAGTATTAATTCTACCCAAAGAACCTAAAGGAACATAGGAGAGAGGAAGAGATAGAAGCTTGTTTGGAGTATAAACTACGGACGAGTTGGGCACCAAAATGGCCTACTTCTATGGTGAATCATCCTATGCGAGCTCTGACTTATCTTCTACACTAACAAGAAAACCAATAAACAAAAGTTCCATTTCTAGAGCTAGGCTGGTAATACTGATAATTATAATCTGGATTTAAAAACATGTTTCTGTTGAATTTCTAATCAGTATTCCAAAGAGATAATTATAAACAATTTACCTGCTTTATGGCTCTTTGCGAAACCCCAGTCGAACGCTGAGCCTTCACAATGTCTCGTGGTTTTCCGCTGGTGTGTGTCTTGTTTTTTCCTGAAAAGATTGAATGATACAAAAATCTGTGAGATGACCTGCTATTCTATCATGTCTAAAAACCACAGTAAATTGAAAGTACACCTCAGCATGTTCATGTGCCACATTTTTGCCAATTTTTGGTTATAAGCCACATCACACATTCAGCCTCACCTTTAGATAGAACGCTTCATATGCATACACATTATTTATTTCTCCTCTCCCAACTTACACACACCAAACCTATACACAGAGCAGCATCCACTACCATAAAAATGCCCAGATACATATGTATATGTATAGGAGAGGATTTAAAACATAATATTGTTGTTTCAGGCCTTTTGCATGTCCCTTGACCAGTCTTATTTTTCAGGTATCCTATTATCTAAAAAAAATCATAATTTCTTTAAGACTTATTAAACATTGTAATCGTATCAAGACTTTTTGGTCACGCTGTACAAACATTTAATTTTTCTCTTAAGGCATAAAACTTTCCCATAGACCAATGGGGACTTGTGCAAAAGGAGCACTGGATAACTCTCACTCGTGCACAAACACCTGATCTTTGCAACTGCCTACAATAATAATCCCTGCATTCGACATAATGCCTTTTGCATCAGGTGGGTGTCTCAAAGCACATCACAGGATTTACTTAAAGTTCAGTTACTGTATTTTGTAGGTGAATGCAGGAGCCAATTTGCACACAGCAATGTTCTACAAAGTCATGAAGTGAATGACCAATTTTATTTGGGGGATATTTGACTAGGACACCAGGAGAAACTATTTTCTTTTCAAATAGATTATACCTGTTATATCTCATTTTAACATCTCATCTGAAAGACAGCACTTCTAACAATGTAGCCCACCCCCAGCACTGGAATAAAGTGTCAGACTAGACTATACAAGTTGAAAGTCCTGACAATGGCACAAATTAGATCAGGAACTCCCTGTCGGATACATATCTGCGTCACAACACAGACTGGCCCTCCAAACCAAAGCTTACACTGCAATCGATCTTTCCAAAGGGACCCCCAAGCAATCACCCGGCCCCATCGTAATGAGACTTCCCAGCAGGTCAGCAGTCAAAAAGAAATCAAGAATTGATGGACTGGGGAAGTTCCATGATACTGCAATAGATCTTTAATCCATATTAACTACATTCTCTTGCTTCCTTTCTTCAGAAACTGTCAAACCTCTCAAACATAAAATGTAAAAACATTTCAGTCAACAGGCAACATTTAATTTAGGTTAATCTAATGTGGCGCTGGAAGAATTCGTTTGAAATAACTTTGCTTTTCTCCATCTGTTAATGCCCCAAGGCAACCAAACACATGTTGTTCTTCCCCCTGAACTCTTAAATATTGAACGAAGCTCCACATGTCCCGTTCACATTCGATCAGTCATCCATTTGGCTTGGATCTCAGATGGACCCTGCTATAAACTTGCACACAAGTTTGTGGATGGAAGGGTATTGGGGAGGATTTCAAAAAAATCTGAAACTTCACAGGTCTTCAAAGGGAAAATCACTTCACAAAGGTACAATCATAGCAATCTATTAACAATTCCTTTCAAGTCTGATAAATTTAAAACAAGTAACACAGGACAAGCACGCTGATACTAATTCAGAAAATTACCATCCTTGTTACATCTTCTCAACCCTCTCAAACTAACTGATATACGATTACGTATCTATCAACAGAATATCCTGTAAATACATTCCAACCACCCTGACGTAATATAAGCCAATGTTTTGCTGTCACTCCGGCTTGGGTCCAGGACCAGTTAATGCTTTGTCTATCTCTTCAACGGCTTGTTTTCCCATACCACTTTAGGCATCAGACTTGCCAAATAAACAAAACAAATGTGACAAATAAAATTTGACATGCAGCTTTTATCTACAAAATGAGTTAGCCAAGCAGCCTATCATTATGAACCATTTTAAACCTGTAATTGTGCTGAATTTACAAACCCCTCAACTCCCTTTTATTGATGTTCTTGTGGTACTAAAGAACATTGATCCCTTCTAGCACTATCCTGTCTCACCCATTGATTTTCTACTATTTGACCATGTAACCTGACCACTGACTGCCCATTGTAAGGATGTGCTTTCCTAATAATCGATGCCTGGCCCTCCTTTCAACTCAGAGAGCTTGGCACTGCCTCAGCCCATTAGTCCTTGATGCCGAGACATTGCATCCAAGGTAATTCAGGGATGCAATGCAAAACCAGAGAGCCCAAACCTGGACTGCTGAGGGACAGTGGGAACCAATTATATAACAACAAGATTCCATTTAAAAAGGTCTAATTTTATAAAATAATTAATGGGATACGAATTGTGGGGGGAAATCAGGTGTTTTGGAATCTGGAATCAGGAGAATAAACTTTTTCTCTCAGTTTCAAGGTTCTTCTTAAAAAAGTTTAGGTATCAGTTTATAATTATGAAATTCTGTTAATCTCGTAGAGGACTGTGGAAACTTCCTGCACCGTGGAAAGCTGTTCAATAGACTTTAAACATTTAACCAGGACAAACATAGTTTTTATACTTCAACCTGCACTTCACCCCCTCCTGCTCCATCTCCTCAGACTTCTCTTCCCTGCTCTCCTCGCTCAACCTCTCCCTCCACATCAACTCCCCCACTCACAGTCACGGCCACCCACTCGACTTGGTGATCACCCGGGGCCTCAGTGTCTTGGATGTCACTATCACTGACAAGGCCGTCTCCGATCACCACTTCATCTCCTTCACCACCTCCACCCCCCTCCCCACCTCCACCAGACCCACCATCTTCTACCGCCCCTGGAAGAAGTTACCCCACAATCCCTAACTGCTGCCTTGGAGTCCTCTGAACTCCTCTCCCTCTGGCCTTCATCCCTCACTGACCCCTCTTCTGCTTTCACCCTCCTCAACACCCTCTCCTCCACACTCGACACTCTTGCCCCCATCACCTCCCATACTGTCTCCTACTCTCGCTCCTCCCCCGGTTCACCACCCATCTCCGCTCACTGAAAGCCAGGTGCGGGCCGCTGAACGCACCTGCCTCAAATCTGGCCTAACGGTCCACCGACAAATCTGGCTGGACCTCCTCAAAATCTACCGCTCCACTCTAGCCTCGGCCAAGTCGTCCTTCTACTCCAGGATAATCCTGGAGGCGAAGAACAACCCCAGGCTTCTGTTTTCTACCACATCCCGACTCCTCCGTCCCCCCCGCCACCCCGCGCAGGTCATCTCCTCCAACCTTCACTGCGAGGAGATGCTGGATTTCCTTGAATCCAAAATCAAGGGAATCCGCTCCGCGGTCACTTCCCCTCCAACATCCACCCACCCCCACCCCTCCCTCCCACACTCCGACTCCTACCCATCCTCCCCTACACACTTTCGTACCCGTTTCCCCACCCTGTCACCAAACTCATCCTATCCCTGAAACCCACCACCTGCTCCCTTGACCCCATCCCCACTCCACTCCTTATCTCCCAGCTCCACCTCCTTGCCCCACATATCACAGACATCGTCAACCTGTCCCTCTCCTCTGGCTCTGTTCCCATTCCCTTAAAAACTGCCACCATCACTCCCACCTTGAAAAAACCCTCCCTTGATGCGTCGCAGCTATCAAGCTACCGGCCCATCTCCAACCTCCCCTTCCTGTCCAAGGTCCTTGAAAGAGTTGTCGCCTCCCAGCTGCGCTCTTTCCTCTCCACCCATTCATTATTCGAACCCCTTCAGTCGGGTTTCCGTGCTGCCCATAGCACAGAAACTGCCCTGGTCAAGGTCACCAATGACATCCTGACCATCTGCGACCAGGGCTCCCTCTGCCTCCTCGTCCTCCTCGACCTATCGGCAGCATTCGATACGGTCGACCACGCTATCCTCCTCCGCCGCTTGTCCTCCCACCTCAACCTTCAAGGCCCTGTCCTTGAGTGGTTTAGGTCGTACCTCTCCCACCGTCTTCACTGTTTCCACGAACGGCTTTTCCTCCAGTCCCCGCACTATCTTGTGCGGTGTCCCTCAGGGCTCTGTCCTCAGTCCCCTCCTCTTCACTCTCTATATGCTCCCCCTTGGTGACATCATCCGCAGACATGGGGTTAACTTCCACATGTATGCGGATGACACCCAACTCTACCTTTCCTCCTCTACCCTCAACTCCACGACCACCGATGTCCTGACAGCCTGCCTGTCCGACATCGAGTCCTGGACGAGAGACAACTTTCTTCAGCTCAACGTGGGTAAAACTGAGGCCCTCCTGATTGGCTCACGTCAGCGCCTCCGCACCTCAGGCGCTGACAGCATCAGCATCCAAGGCTGCACTCTCCACCTCTCAAAGCCGTCAGGAACCTCGGTGTTCTGTTCGACCCTGAGCTGTCCTTTCTCCCTCATATCCGCGCCACAACTGGCACCGCCTTCCATCACCTCCGGAATATCGCCAGACTACGGCACTACCTCACCCCTCACGCTGCTGAAACTCTGGTCCACGCCTTTATCACCTCAAGGCTGGACTATGGGAACTCTCTCCTCGCCGGCCTTCCCGGCACCTCCCTCCACAAGCTGCAGGTCATTCAGAACTCTGCAGCTCGTGTACTGTCCCGCACCAGGCTTCGGACCACATCACTCCCACCTTCGCTCGCCTCCACTGGCTCCCCATCCCCCAGAGGATCGAATTCAAGATCCTCATCCTTACCTACAAGGCCATTCATGGCCTTGCTCCCTCCTACCTCTCTGACCTACCTACCTGCCCGTACCCTCCATTGGCTCCGGTCTGCTCCACATCCCCCGCCCCAACCGCCCTACTATCGGTGGTCGGGCCTTCAGCCTCTCAGCCCCTAGGCTCTGGAACTCTATCCCCCAGTGCCTTTGCCGCTTCCTCCCTTTCCTCCTTCAAGGCCGGTCTCAAGACCTTTCTCTTTGACCGTGCCTTCAGCTTCCCTCTCGACTCTCTACGCCCTCCTCGCTCCCTCCCTTCCCTCCCCTCACCCTGACCACTTCCCCCCTGTTCGGGTCCTGACCAAACTGTACAGCGCCTTGGGATGTCCTCCCGACTTGAAAGGCGCTCTATAAATGGAATCTTGTTGTTGTGTATGTAAAGCACATGGCACAGGGGTAGTCTGTGGTGAGTCAATAGGTTTCCCTCCCTTGTTCCCTCATGATAGATATTTGCCTAGTTGTTTGATCACCTCACCCAAACAAGGTACATATTTGTAAGACAGATGTGTACAAGCTTCTGATCTTGGCTATGTTGTTGGTTGAAAAGATGTTACTAAATGGGAGCTCACCATAAGCTTCCAAAGTGTACTCCACATTAATTAGCTCTAGACTATAATAATAATACTTGCATTTGATATAGCGCCTTTTCACATCTTCTGGACGTCTCAAAGCGCTTCACAGAATATACTGTAAAATGAACTGACTGTATGCTTTGTGGGCGAAACGCGGCAGCCAATTGCATGCAGCAGTGTCCTACACACAGTAGTGGATTAAATGCCCAAATAATTTTTTTTTAAGGAATTATTACCCCCAGAAAAGCGATCCGACAATCGACTAGCAACCAGGGTCTCACTTACTGCTAGGTGAACAGAGGCATGTGTACCAAGGAAACTTGCCCAACGTTTCACCCTGACAGAAATCAAACCCAGGTCCTCTCGCTTGCGAGGCGAGTGCTTTAACCACTAAACTACAGGACTTCACGAGATAAGAAAGATAAGAAAGTTAGGATCAATGGGAAAATAAAAAAAGAAAGAAGATAAGAAAGAAGTTAGAACGGGTATTAGACCAGGAGGAAGTCATTTGCCCACAGTACTGGTCTGCATGGGAGTGGTGGGGGGGGAGGGGGAGGGAGAAGAGAAAATGTCAACACAGCAAGAGAGAAGAAAATAAGAGTCAACTATCAGGGAGATTATTTGAATCAATATAAATATGAAAACAGTACTTTCATAAGCATCTATTCTGTATGATCCCTCAAATGACACACAATTGAACTACCTGGCAGCCACTTGTTCCCAGGTTTGAAGGATGGATTGGTCATTTATCAAACCATGCCTTCTTATTTCTTCCCTCTCTCCACTTCTGTAAAATTACACTTCCCCACCTCGATGACATCAAAAATTCCCCCAAAAATAAAAAATAAAAGAAATAAAATTAAAACCAATTGTCTTATTGTGTCCTAAATTTGGTTTTTAAATTTTGTACTAAAAGGAACAAAATACTTTAGGCCACCACTCAAACAGGAAAATCATTAAAAAATAATTTATGCAACTTTACAAATGTACTGCTAATATCAGCCACATCAGGAAGTGTTTTGTAGTTCATGTGTGCCACCTAATGGACAAAGTTAATAGTACATCATTCTTATTAATTTGCCTAAAGATACACTACAATATTACATTTGTATAGCACCTTTCACGTCAGGAGGACGTCCTAAGGCGCTGATGATCCAATTAACTAAATTACTGGACACTTTTGATGAACAAATTGAATTTCAATTTGCTTTCCCAGTCGCAAAATTATTCAACTACCAGGTTCTCAATATGCAAACACACAGATAAACAAGCACACATACACACACACATACCTAAACAAATTGTTGGCATAAATTTTGAAGACTAACTTCTTGAGCCAGGTACTGAAGGTTGGCCGGTACAGTGAAGCCGTACCCCAGCAAAAAAATGTCAGTGATTTGGGATAAGGAAAGCAAATGGCACCAACAACAACAACAACTTGGATTTATATAGCGCCCTCCATGCCGGAGGGCGTCTCAGAGCGCTTTACAGTTTTGGATCCCGGGACCGAGCCAGGGGGAAGGTGACCAAAGGCGCGGTCGAAAAGAAAAAAATAAACAGGATCAAACAAAAAAATTAATAATACAGCAACTTGAACAGCAAATTTACATTTATGTAGCACCTTTCACTTGAGGAGGATTTGACTATTGTGTGCAAAACTGTCTGTTGCCTTTCACCCTCAAAATACAGTCAACCACTTTACAATATATCACGTCTTTGAGGCGGCTCAAAGCGCTTAACAGAACATTTTGTCAAGTGAATTGTATACACATAGACTGTATACTTTGTGGGCGAAATGTGGCAATTGCGCACAGGGTGTTCCACAAACAGTCGTGAATTGAGTGACCAAATTATAATTTAAATGTTTTTAACTGCTGTAACCCTCAACTACCACAATATGAGTAAATATTACATGCATGATACAAGGCATGTCATAGGCACTCAGACATTATCCCTATGTTGTCGAACGCTATGAATTCTATGTAAATGAGTAGGTAGTGTTATTAATGTCTCTGAAAGTGTAAGATGTTACAATGCAGAGTATAATGCAATAGCTGAATTTCCCAAATAAAAAGCTATCACAACACCTGAACGTGCATGCCAAAATGATAGAAAGATTATAAGCCTTACTCTGCCAACCAAACGTGGGCAGCACAGTAAAGCTTTTTCTTAATTCACTGCAAACTCGATCCTACCCTCACAGTGCAACTTACTGCACATGAGAAATGCTTGAGCAGTTTACCACAAAGGATGGTTGAAAGCTGGACTCATTTAAGAAATGGTCTGGTGCTGTAATGGAAAAATTTTAGGATCGGTGTTATACAAAGCAGAAATCAAATAGGCTAAAAGGCCTTCCTTATTTAATGCTACTTTGAAGATCAAACAGCTATGTAGGCAGCAACATACATATTAAACTGCTCTCCAAAGATGTTTAAGTTTCTTCAACACAATGAAGAGTCATGGCTGTAGCTGAGGCTTGAGTATAAAAGTTAAAGGAAGCCAAACCATTGAAAGCTTACCCTCTTCATCTTTATTTTCCAGGGGAACACTCCACGCAATCAGATTTCTAGCAGCACGTCCCTCCTCTGCTACAATCTTTCGGACTTTGTCATGGCTGTTGGACCTCTGGAACGAGGCCTGGAAACAGAAAGGTGAACTTCATTAACGTTCCATATAACACTATGTAGTATTTTCAGCTCTCCATTTTTGCTGTTGTCATTCTTTTTTCTTTTCTGTCTGACTCATTGTTGAAATTACTCATATTTAGGCTATTAATAAAATTAGTGCTTTTTTAAAAANTAGATCTTAACAACATAGACAGGGGAGTAGTGCAATGAGCCTTACCTGCCATTTTATTAGCTCAAGGCAGATCTTTAATTCCCATTTCCTTTATTCCATATCCTTAATACCCTTCCATCCTAAGTATCTGTCTATTTCCCTTTTAAAGATCCTAATCAATTCTACAGCTTTTGTCTTCTACAGCAGTGCATTCCACATTCTCACGACCCTTTGTGTTGCTGCCATTATGTTGCATCCCCTCTAGGAACCCAATAGCTTCAGAGAGTAGGAGGAAGCCATTTCTTTAAACACTTACAGGGTAAGTAAGCTACACCACAAATAATAGAAACATATAAATGATAGCACAGGAGGAGGTTGTTCGGCCTTTTGAGCTGATGCTGTTACTAGCTCCTGACAGAAACTAATCCCAAGCAATAACATCCAGTACTTAGTCTTCAATCACTATATTCCAAGTACTATTGCTACCCTTGATTCACAAACTACCCTGACCCAACAAGAGGCCATACATTTAAAGATAACCACCAAAGGAGAAATTGTTTGACCGATTATTATTGGTGCCCGGCCACAAATTATAGTTGATACAGAATCCACATTCGGGAATTAGACAAATATTTGAAAAAGGGGTATGGGGAAAAGGCAGGGAACATTTATTTTCTCAACATTAGGAGGTGAAGCTTCTCTGGAGGAAAAAATATCCAATCTATAGCCCGGAGGCCAAAGGATGGGTGAGTTTCCACCCAAAAGCAGTTATTATTTTAAAAAGTAATTCTGACAGACCTCAGGTGGGTTGCATTCCACTCTTGTGCTATAGGATGAAAGATCGTTGTTTATTAATTTAAAACGTATTATTATAACTTTGGGTTTTAAGAGCATAAACATTGTGTTGCCAAAAATAACTAAACTTCCCCTGTAATTTCCGACACATTATCATTCTAGAAAACGAATGCAGCCCTGAACACAAAGGGACCTTCCTATGGAGGGCAGTTGGATGCTGCAGAAACCAGAAGGAATCGTGACAAGCTTCAATACAACAGTGGCAATTTTAATATCAAATGGTAGCTGCCACCTCTAACCTTGTCCCTGTGGGCATTTTACAAACATCAAAACACAGCAAAAGACTCCCCAAGGAAACCTAGATTACCTTGCAGGATTAGCATGCATACAAGCCAGTAATAATCCAGAAGAGTGATGATGGAAAAGTCTTGATCTATTCAGTCATCGCTAGAAACAAATGCTAGTCATTCTGAACTCCAACACCAAGATCCACATATCTGGCACAAATCATTAGTTATTTCTACTTTCCGGGAGTCGGAAGAAATTCAGACAGGAGAGATTGTAGAATTCAGTTACGAAAAGGGCCAAGAGATGGAAGAGAAGCTGAATACGGTCCTCTAACAGTACATATATATAACTGTACTTCACTGAGGTTTGTTTTAAAATTTCCATACACAATATTAATCATAAAGCAGATTCCAAAGCATGATTTGAGAGCTAAATCCTATAGCCTAATATCGCTGGGGTTCTCATACAGTTTATAAATCACTCACAATGTGTAGCATCAACTGTAACCTTTAAATAGCTTGGAACATTTAGTATGTGTTTCGTTTGCAAAGCATGGATTTTGTTCCCTAAAATTCCAATTGGCGATGTCTATTTATACAAAAATTCCAGTGGGAATTCACATCCACAAATACAGCAAACCACTACATTAGAGAATTTGACACAGGAAGATGTGTTCTGGATCCCTATGTGGTTGTATGTAATCTTCAGGTGGAAGATGGCTGGCTTGTTTCCAGGAACATTCTCTTATTGCTAAAACTAAATCAATTACATAAGGGTTTGACACACGACACTAAAACAGAATAGTTCCATCAAACCTGTTCTAATAATGAAAAGAAAATCATTTCTTGCAGTTTAATAGGAAAATTAACAGGAACGTTGTTGCAAGTTGAGCTCCCAATCAGAGTCATTCTGGAACCGAGGGGGTAACATGCAAAGACCATCCACTTTTTTTTTAAAACTTTAGCAGAGATTTGGTGTGGGAATAGACTGGCCAGGGAGACATTGGAGAAAGATTGAAAACAAAAACAGAAGTCACTGCGAACACTCAGCAGGTCAGGCAGCATCTATGGAAAGGAAAGTGAGTCAACGTTTCGGGTCCACGACCCTTTGTCAGAACTCAGATGACCATGATCTCCTCTGATAGATCTGTACAGGTGTAGCGCATGTAAATATTTTGAATTGTTGCAAATATATATTCACTTACATTCTTTTTGTTGTGGTTTTCTATGGTGGGGTTCTGTCAGCTGACAGCATGGTAAGTTAATATGGGTCAATGTCAATGTTATTTTGATATGCAGAGATGAATCAACTTAAAACCAAAGTGTCTGTTGCACATAAACTCAGTTCTGACGAAGGGTCATGGACCTGAAACGTTGACTCACTTTCCTTTCTTCATAGATGCTGCCTGACCGCTCAGTGTTCCCAGCGACTTCTGTTTTTGTTTTCAGATTACCAGCATCTGCAGTATTTTGCGATTGGAGAAAGATTGGTCAGCAAATTTAAGAAGGAATTAAATTGAAAAATAAATCAATTGAGGGATACAATAGTGTAGAATTATTGGGCCAACCAGATGAACTACAATGATCTTTTCCGGTCCTATACATTCCTGTGTCCATGCATGCTTTTGAACATTTATATTTTGTAATTATTGAATACATGAAACTATCAAGTTTTAGCAATGTTCCTCTTCTGGATCATAATGTGAACAGATTTACAGCATATGAAATTCCAAACTAAACCTATTCATTATGGAATCACAGCTCTTTTGTGTTGCCACCCAAATCTCAAATGCGGTGGGCTTATATTTCTCAATGGTAAGTTTATGTGCAACAAATACTTTGGTTTTAAGTTGATTCATCTCTGAGTATCAAAATAACATTGACATTGGCCCACATTAACTTACCATGCTGTCAGCTGACAGAACCACACCATAGAAAACCACAATAAAAAGAATGTAAGTGAATATACATCTGCAACAATTCAAAATATTTACATGCACTACCCCTGTACAGATCTATCAGAGGAGAACATGGTCATCGCTGGCCTTAAGATAGATTCATATCCGCTGTACACCATACTGTTACCCTATGAAAGCCCATGAGATTCCAATTTAGCCCATCTTATGGATATATACATTTTTTTATTGTCAATAGCTGGAGCTCTTTTTCGTTCAATCTAGGTTGAGTGAATGTGGAGAGTTACCCAATTGGAGTGGATGTATTCTCTCCACTTAACCCAGGAGAAAGATTCCTATATATGGTTTGTATTTTTACGCTGTTTTGTTCAGGGTGATTTCAAGGGTCAGGTTCTTCCAATGAATCATGGGACCCTCCTGCACTAAGATAGACTAGCAGTTGAATTTTAGATGAGCTGTTACACCCTAAATGGATGCCATTCAAATTCAGACAGCCAAGGCTCTCCGCTTATGTGGATTCTTGATCAGGGTTGTTTCCCTGTCCTTCCTCTGGATATTATGCTGTCAGCTCTTTGGTTCCATCACAGAATAAGGTTAATGTGGGAAGAATCTGCTTTCGACTTAATCGCTTACCATATCAAAACAGTGATAAACAGGGTAACCAGCATGCTGAACTATATTGCCAAATCAAAAGAAGTCAGATCCTCAGAAGTCATGGTCAAGCTGTACAGTGCTCCGGTGAGGTTGCACCTGGAGTACTGTGTTTAATTACATTCAGTTTAACACTGCTGGCTGGGTATTCTGGAAGGATGAGATCAAAAAGGCCAAAGAGCCTTTTTTATCCACACCTCTCTTGTGAATCTGCAACGTTAGGCTCTGCAGCCCGTTCCCAGACCAGGACATGTCTTGTTTTGTAAACAATCCTCTTCATCATTGTTTGTTTTACAAATAATAGTGGCTATTAGTTGTTGACTTTATAAGATGCTAGTCTAGATGCTAGCCCATTGTGGTGGTTGATGTTTGGATACTACATTTGGAAAAAGAAACAACATTTTGAAACAATATACACAGTAAACAAGTTCCTCCACAATATAGTGTCCAGTAAAATCAAGGTGGTATATTTACAAGCATAACGTCTTGGTGTGTAACCCACACCATTTATCTACAGTTTGAGCTCCATCTTCACTTACAGAAGCCAGTACACTCAACTATTTGAGGTTCCAAAAATGAGCATCGCATGAGCAATTACTACATGATTATAAAAGGCAACATGATGTCAAAGCAAGAGACGCATTACCTTTCTCTGAACTTTCCTCTCATACTGAATTGCATCCAAATCGGTTTTATGGGGGTAGTTATTTCTAAGGTATTATTTGTAACCTATTTAAAATTAATGTAGATTACTATTTGTAATGTGGCCTCATAATGGATATGAACAGAGCTATAGAATAAACCTGCCATAGATTAAAATGCAGCAGTGGCCGGTTACCTCGATATGTGGATCAAATGCCTCAGGCAAAAAGGGATATTTGCAAAGTTCAACAATAAAACCAATCAGATCACACATACAGAAGTAACACACAGGAAATACATTTTAGCCCTACTAATGGAGTACCAAAATTTTTGATATGAAATATCCTGTGTTTAAGAAGAACTGTTCCAGAGAGACAAACCAATCTTGTGATCCATAATATTGGTTCATTCATTAGTACAAGTAAAAAGGGATCTAACTTTCCCTAGAAATTCCTGGATATCCAAACAGTAATAAAGGAGATACATCCTGTAAGTCTGCTTCCTAAATTCTTAATATTGGGTTTACTTTAGAGTTTTCTGAATTAATAACTATCCAAGCTTTATCTAATCTGGCATTTAATGACTGGTTATAACAAACCACTGATATTTCTGCACAACAGAGGCACCATTAGTTCTGGATTCAAAGCAAGTGCCTTTTTGGGAGGCATCTCAAAGTGCTTCACAGGATTTACTAAAAAGTGACTGTGTTTTTTATGTGAGCACGCCGACACCACTGGCTTCCCATCACACAGAGGATACAGTTCAAGATCCTGGTCCTCACCGGCAAAGCCCACCATGGTCTTGCTCCACCTACTTCTGCGATCCCCTACCATTCTGCCCGTAACATCCACTCAGCGGGCTCCAGACTGCTTCAAGTCACCCACCTCGCCCGCCCCACCATTGGCAGGAGGGCTTTCTGCCACTCTGCCCCCACCTTCTGGAATTCTGTCTCACAGTCCCTCCACCTCGCGCCTCCCTTGCCTCCTTCAAGACCTATCTCAAGACCCTCCTGTTCGACCATGCTTTTGATCACCCTGCTTCCCCCCCCCCGGTCTCCACCCTCCCCAATCCCAACCTCCACCTTGGGTTCAAAATACTGACTGTCCAGTGTCTTGGGAAGTTCCCTGACATGAAAGGCACTATACAAATATAATTTTGTTGTTATTGTTTTTGAGCGCTACCTACTGAGTCAGACCGACACCTATAAAAAGCTGTAAGCAATACGACTAAATGGTCCTTGACTTTCTAGTTTCCAACTCAAACCTTGCATATTAAAATCTCCACAATTCACACTAAAATAAAAATAATTCAGCACTGTTTTAGAGAGATTTTGATCCTAAAGTACATCTCCCAACTTCGGTCCATTCAGACCTTCACATCAAAGGGGTTAATCCCTTTGAGTTCTTTACAGTAACTTTAAATCGCCAACCTTTAAACTATAGGCCAAGATACCACTTATGTATTGCTAACAATCTGACTCTCAATATATCAACCCGCAAAGCTCAAGACTGGAACACAATATTGGGACATACAATTTTTTTGTTGACTATGGTACAATTTCTAGGAGAGTATACAGCAAAGATGTTATCAGACTGCTGATAAGTATTAACTTGTAACAACAACAACAAAATTACATTTGTATAGCAGCTTTCATGTCGGGTGGATGTCCCAAGGTGCTGGACAGACAGAGTTTTGGACCCGAGCTGGGGGTCGGGGAATGTGGAGGGCGGGTGGGGGGAAGCAGGGAGATCAAAAGCACGGTCGAAGAAGAGGGTCTTGAGATGGTCTTGAGATGAGGCAAGGGAGGGGGCAAGGCGGAGGGACTGCGTGATGGAGTTCCAGAGAGTGGGGGCAAAGTGGCAGAAGGTCCACCAGCCAATAGTGGGGCAAGCAAGGCGGGGGACATGAAGCAGGCCGGAGCCCACTGGCCGGAGTGAGTGAGCAGGATGGTAGGGGCTTAGGAGGTCACAAACCTAGGGGGGAGCAAGACCATGGAGGGCTTTGAAGGTGAGGACCAGAATCCTGAACTGTATCTTCTGTGTAATGGGAAGCCAGTGGAGTCCGGCGAGGATGGGGGTGATAGGGTCACGGAGCCTGGTGCGGGAGAGGACGCGGGCTGCAGAGTTCTGGATAATCTGCAGCCTGTGGAGCGAGGAGTTGGGGAGGCTGACAAGCAAGGAGTTTGCAATAGTCAAGTCTCGATGTAATGAAAACATGTATGAGGGTTTCGGTGGCCTGTGGTGTGAGACAGTGTCGGAGCCGGGCGGTGTTGCAGAGGTGGGGTATAAAGGATAGTTGAGGGTCAAACAAGACGCCAAGGTTCCGGACTGGTTTGTAATACATCTCAGGTATGGTTCTATTTTCAGCGTATAACATGGGGGTAAAAGGGTACTTACTGAAAACACGTAGAGCCTGGAACTAGGTTTTTCAACAGTCTTTTCAACAGGCATGCTTCAGTAATGTCACCAGCTACAGCAAAGGGCACTCTCTCTCTCTCTCTCTCTCTCTCACACACACACATACACTCTATCCAATTACTAAAATATCCTGTACATTTAGAAATAGATCCCTTTACTTAATGACATGATCATCTGTCTGAGAACAAAAATAGATTGCTTTCTCATCTCTCCATATCGTCCAACTATGTCTGCATCTTACTCGATACACACAGGCATCTCCTAGAAAGACAGCACAACTTTTTGTTTCTTGGGTAACCGTTGTTCATTCCCAAAACTCTGCCCTGCTAGCAATCGCAAGATCTGCACGGTCTACAATGACTAGAGCGCAACTACCCAACATTACAATCTGACAATTAAAGTTGTCCCATTTAATGTGTCTGACTGTTAATTGGTTTAGCTCTCTGTTTAAGATTATGTCCTCTTCTTTTGGATCACTCAACACTGGGAAATTGTCCCTTACCTAGCCTGTTAATTCCCCTAATTATTCTCAACAAATCAATCATATTATTAATAATAATAATCCTTGCATTTGATAGAACGCTTCTCACGTCTTCTAGACGTCTCAAAGCGCTTCACAGAATATACTGTAAAGTGAATTGACTGAATATTTGCGGGTGAAACGCGACAGCCGATTGCGCACAGCGGTGTCCCACAAACGGCCGTAGGTTGAAAATGGCCAATTTATTATTGTTGCGTTTTTTGGAGGGATTATTATTAGGACCTCCTTCAATGAGCAGCCATACAAATCCAGATTTCCCCATTTTCTCACCACAGCCAAATCCCATTAATCAGTGATATTGTCACTGGACACAGGCAAACCTATCAGTGCAAGGCTGTGTGTGTGTGTGTGTGTGTGTATCCAACTCCCTGATTCTCCTGACGCCTTAAGACGTCCTCCCGACGCGATTGTATACAGTCAATTCACTTTATAGTGTGTTCTGTGAAGCGCTTTGGGACGTCCTCCCGACGTGAAAAGCGCTATATCAAATGCAAGGATTATTATTATTATTATGCAAATTATTGTGTCGTGTTGTATTGCCTGCACTTATTTTTTTAAAGACTGCCTCGGGTCGGGATAAATTTGACAAACGTATGCAGACAATCGCTGAAAGGGCTCTACTGGACACGTTTTCGTAAAAAACCTCGGTCGTAGCCAAGTGAGTCTCAGCAGAGCTCACAAGCAATTGGTGCTGCACACAGACCCCGCAATTCTGTCTGCCCTTCCAAACCAAAGAGGCAGAGCAGAAAGGGCACCGCTCCACTCCCGACCCTTTCCCAATGCACTCGATGCCCCCCCCCCCCCCACCAGCCCCAGGCGAGAGAGAGAAAAAAAATCGCAATCTTTTCACGTGGCAGAGCGGCCTCGGGCAATGAAGGACCGGGTCTCTGTCTGTCGACTACTTGGCGAGCGTCTTCCACCACCGCCAGTCACCGTTTCGCTGGCAACGCGTCGCTCGCTCGCTCGAAAGTGCCCTGGAAAGCGGCGGCGGCGGCGGCGGCAGCAACAGTGCTGCAAAACCCGTCACCGTTGCACTTTGGTGCGCGGGTCTAATAACTCGGCCGCAAGAGGTCAGGACAGCTGCAGCGTCAGTGTGTGGCACTGCGATGGCTTTGTGACCATAATGAACCCGCGAGTGCTGTCAGTCGACCACAGGGGGAGACGGGTGGCAGACAAAGTGCCTCCGGGCCCTTTCCCGAACCACACAAAGACTCAGCAGCAGGTGTGACGGGGAGCTCTCGGCTCCGGCCGGCGGCCGCCGCAGTACCTTAGCGTTCCCGGCGCTGGCCTGGCCCTTGCTCTTGCCTCCGTACGAGGATCCTGAGCTGCCGCTGCCGGACCTCTCCCGCCCGTCCCCCGCAGGCCCGGCTTTCTGCCCCGGCCTGTCCCGGGAGTCGCCGCCGCCTCCCGCTCTGTGTTGCCCGCTCCTCTCGCGCCCGTCGCCGCCGCCGAGAAAGGCGACTTTGCTGTTGGCGACGTGCTCCCGGCGCCTCCTGCCCTCCGACCTCGACTCCTTGGACATCTCCGGTCGGAAGTTTATTCCCTCGACTTTATTTACACGTAATTTGGGTAAACAAATCTCTTTCATCCCCGACACAAGAACAGCAGCATCTGGACCGTGACAGCTGCGGCAACCAAGCTTCAAACCGGAAGCCGCGGTCGATTGATACCCGCCCGAGCCAATCAGCGGCTGGGACGCCTCCATTTCGGGGCGGGGCGTGCTCGTGACAGGGCGCCTGCTCCACGGGCGGACCAATCAGCGGGCGTCTTGGGGGCGGGTCTTGCTCATCAAGTTTGCTGGACCCGCAGCATCACCGCTGTCAGGCAACCCGGGTCCGCTCGCTCTGATTGCTGGGCTCTGAGAACATTCCCGACCGCCCTTGCGGGCGAACCGGCTTCAAATTAAAGGCGGGTAACAAGGAGGGAAAAAGTGGCCTTCTCTGGGAAGGAATAATCATCATCATCATCATCATCCTTTCTCACGTCTTCGAGCCGCCTCGAAGAGCTTCACAGGATATACCGTAAAGTGAACTGACTGTATATTTCGTGGGCGAAAGCGCGGCCGCCAATCGCGCACAGGCAGCGGCCCACAATCAGTTTGCGGATTGAGTGACCAATTTATTATTATTATTATTATTATTTGGAATTCCTTCTGAACCAGTCAATCTGCCCGTTTCCTTCTCCAATCAGCACTCCGGTTGTGGGTTTCAAGCCTCGGATCAAGACTTGGAACTTGAATTGTCTATTGTTCCCGGGGATAGGTGTACATACTTTGGATGATATGTTAAACCAAAGCCTGTTTTGCCTGTCTAGGTGGGTGTTTAGAATCCCTTGGCACAATTGGAGAAGAGAAGGGAGTTTCTGCTGGTATTCTAGCCAACAATTGCTCCCAAATAAAAAGGAAATTATCACTTACTCCGTGGCTGTTTGTGGCTCATTGCTATCCGCATAATGGCTGTCACATTTGTCCGCAAAAAATACACAGACATACCACATTGCCTTTAAACACTTCGAGACATCTCAACGCGACAAAGTGCTATATCAATTGCAAGAAATATTATTATTAAGGTGTGTACCCTTGCCCAGTCCAGCCTCAGACTGATCCCACACCACTCTGTCTGTCCCGGGTTACCAAACAGTTTAGATCTTGCCCCAAAACAACAATGATGTGAAAAGTTAGAAGGAATGCTCAGCAGGTTCTAATGTTAGTAGTAAGATGGGGGGGGGAAATAGTTTAGATAAGGTTCCCAACACAGAGAAAGATGGAGGGAAACATTTTTTTTTCTCGGAATAAGATGAAGAAACTATTTTGGGAAAAAAACTGCAAGCCTGGGGTGAACACACAGATGTGTGCTGGAATTCCACAGCAGTTGAATAACATTAGAAAGGAGAAGAAATGTTGTCTCTTGTCAGATATTTTAATTCCACGTATCCATGCACTTTACTACAGTTATATCCCAGGTATCTCCAGGAGGAAATATACGTAACTTTTCAGAAATGAACTTTCTTCAGAACTGATTTTCAATACTGGATGTTTTATTCCTAAAAAAAATAAAACTGCACACACTCCAGATGTTTGACAAAGAATGTACTAACTAAAAGTAAAACTCATTAAAAAGAGGAAACATACACACCTTTTCCTACAAGAAAATACGAATGTGGCAATAACACGATGGAAATTATCATTATAATAAAATATCAAGTCTGTAGACGTAAAGTAACATGTATACCTTGCAGGACATTGAAACAATGTAAAGCAAACAAACTACACACGTTTGCATCCGTGTCGAAATTGTTGTGCGAAATATCTTTTGAGGCTTCACAGCCTCAGCCCTCCACGAGCTCAGGCTCTGCAGGTCCCCTGAACTCTGCTCGGTATCCACGCGAGATGGACGTGTCAGGCACCGCCCACTCCCACACCCACTCCCACTCCCACACCCCACAGCTGTTTCCTTCCGGGACGCCACACGCTGATCGGCTGCTTCTGGAGCGAGTCATTGTTCTCGTCACAGTCCATTGTCCGGGCTCCGCGCCCCCCAGCGGCCACGGGCGGCGCAGCAGCGCCCCCCCACACCCGCTCGCTCGCTCCCACCGGAAGTTACACAATGCTCGTGCGACGGAGCCCCGGCGACCGTTACCGTTGGTCAGTCAGTGAGAGGCGAGAAGCGGCGCCTGAGGTAAGAGCTTTCGGCCCCGGACACCCGGACAGACAGACACCGCACCCCTTCACCCGCCTCTCGGACAGACAGAGAGATCAAGGCACAGACAGACAGAGAGAGAGAGAGAGAGATCAAGGCCACCGGCAGTGCTGGAATCCCGGTTGCCACACATCACGGGGGGGGGGGGACGTCTCAGTCTGATGGGGGAGGGGCGGGGGGTGGGGGGGAGGGGCAGTCTGATGGGGGGGGTTAGGCTGGGGGTGGGATGGGGAATCTGATGTGGGGAGAAGGGGAGAGGGGGGGTTTGGAAGGTAAAACAGAACAATAAATAATAATAATAATAATAATAAATAAACGATCCTTGCATTTGATTCAAGGTCGTGGCGACATCTCGACAACCACGACAACAACTTGCACTTATATTAGCGCCCCCCACGCAGGGCAGCGCTTAGAAGTCTCACAGAGTGACACGCTGCGGGGAATGGATTGACTGCATTTTTGTGGGCGGTGAGGAATGAGGAGCGAAGGGTGTAGAGGGGATGATCTTTATTCAGGACCTCTCTCCTGAAGAGGGTTATATGGCCCTTGGACAGAGGGAGCGCCAAATGGTTTTCCTGTTTTTTTTAAAAAAAAAGTTTCCAGGACCAAACATTGCTCGTAATAAACTTGTTTAAATGTTGGTCGTTATCATTTCCATAGCAACCAGCTGAGGCAATGATGTCAGAATTGTTACTCATTGAGTGTGACTGTCAGACTGGTTTTGCATACATTATAAAATAGCAGACGCTGGAGAGATTATCTGTAATCTCACTTTGCGGTTCAGGTAAGTAATAAATTACGCCTAATAATAATCCCTCCAAAACCAAAAACAATAATAAATTGGTCATTTTCAATCCATGACTGTTTGTGGGACATTGCTGTGCGCAATTGGCTGCCGCGTTTCGCCCACAAATATATACAGTCAATTCACTTTACAGTATATTCTGTGAAGCGCTTTGGGACGTCCTCCCGACGTGAAAAGCGCTATATCAAATGCAAGGATTATTATTATTAAATTGTTCAAACTTTTCTTTCATGTTTTACGATGTCTGAACTTTTTGATTATAATGTGATATCATTCACACCCAGCTATGCCTAACGTACTAAACATTAGATAGATGAAAATAATTAACAATATGACTACACATCTACAAGACCCATCATGTGCAGAAATGCTAACTGAATTTATGGCGGAATTCAGTTTAAATCAAACAGCATAGGGTCAGGGGGAATAAGAATTATTTATTCAAAGATACCACTGAATTCTCCATTTCGGACATTTGAAAGATTTGTTATTGATATTAAGGCTGAAGGATTACTGGACTGCACCATTTTACTACACTACCACTGCTGAAAACCACTGGCTGCATTTCATGCGCTGGGTCATCTAAAAAAAAGTTAGTATATACACCAGTGTTCTCATCAATTTGTAAGTTATGTAAAAGCAAAATGCAATGAGCCTGCTTCAGCAGATAGTGTCACTGGACAACTTATTAAATTGCTCAATATTATGCAACAATTCAGTCTTTGTTTCAAGCACCTTGTCATAATGGATGTATTTCACATAATTTGTGGTTCATTGTGTTGTAATTGCTGAAACTTTATAAGTTGCTATAACTTGCAACTGACTCATTTGAACACAAAGGAAATGTGGTTTATTTTTAACTGCCGCAAGTGTTTTGTGAACTCATTACTGTAGCTGCTGACCATTTTATGATTTTTGAATACACTAGAGTTTGTTGAATTTCAGAAACCTCTGCTCTTTGAGTACTGAGCTGATCTAAATTGTGAGTATTTATTGTAAGGCAGAAATGCATAGAGATTTGTGTGATTGTCAATTTACTTACCTGGCTCAGTTGGCAGCACTCTCGCCTCTGAGTCAGAAGGTTGTGGGTTCAATGCCCACAACAGGATTTTGAACTCATAGTCCAGACTAACACTCCACTGCTGGAGAAGAATTGACAGCATTGTCAGAAGTGTCTTTAAATCAAACTGTTCAGGTGGACCTTAAAGATTCCATGGCAATATTTGAAAAAAGGGCAGTTATCCCAGTGTCCTAGACAACAAGCCAGATATAATTGGTCATTCACTTTATGGCTAACAGAAATGTACAATGAATGCTCCACTTACCTTGCATGTGGATCAATTTCTATACGTCTAGTTTAGGTCTAAGAAAAAAGTTAATCTTTAAGCAAATCTGACGCCTGCTGAATGCTTTTTCTTTCTGCTTGAAGTTTTTCTGTTTCTGATTTAAGAATTCCCAGGCTCGTATGGATTGTTGTGCATTAATTATTGACTTGATATCCATACCATCTTAAATGTCTGTCAGTGGATGAATAGATGTCTTTCAGAGGTAGACACACATTGTTCTTTTGTTCAGATAGTAGAAGAAACAGTAGTAATCTGCCTTGGTTCATTGTGTCATTCATAGGTTTTATGAGAAGCACTGTATGAAGACAGCTGTGTGTGTGTCTGTGAGAGAGAGAGGAAGAGTGTGAATCTCTCATGTTTCCATTGTTGCATTTGTACAGTGCACTTCACGTGGGGTAGTATCTCAGAGCAACTGTGCCCCAGTCTTGCTGTGTTAGTGTATTTAAAAGTCTTTTTTCTCCGATTACATTGGCTCTCCCATTAAACATCTTATACATGAAAAAGGTTTTGATTGAGACTAGTTTATATAATCTCCCCCTCCCCCCGCCCCCCAGACTTGGTGTGATTTGCCAGTTTGATGACCTGGTACTATAAGACCATATAATTTATGTATAGTGGGAAATGTAGGGGCAAAGCTAAATCAAGTTAATTGCACGGGATAGATGAAGAGAAAATGGAAAGAAATAACTACGTTTGAAAATAAATATTTTTGTTTTTTTGGCAGATGCGTATGTGATTGAAGTCTGCAACACAAGATGCATTTCCGAGCGATTGTGAGCCTTACCTTTATCGCGGTGTGTTCTGCGCACGTTCATCATAAACACGAGTCACCTATTGGCGAAGAGCACTATGTGAACGGTGAACATAACGCAGATTACGATAGAGAGGTCCTGTTCGGTGGAGAGGTAGGAGATTATCATCAGGCCTATTGTCCAAATGCAAAATTGAGAGCGGTAATAGTTAGAAATGTATTTGCTGACTTGAGTTATGCTAAATAAGATTTGAAGATTGAAGTGTTTGGGGAATTAAATTTAATTTCTCCCCTCATGTACTTATGTTTGAGCACCGTTCCACTGGAATAGGCAGCACTTGGATACCTCGCTAAAGTGGTATTATAACAAAACTATCCAAAATAGTCTCAGACGTTATTTGTAAAACCACGCTTTATGTATTTGGTGGTTAAGGTCAGTCTCAAGACCCTCCTATTCGATCGTACTTTCAGTCATCCTTCCGCCTCTCTGCCTTCCCTCACCCCTAACCCACCCCTGCCCCACGCTCGGGTCCTGACCCCTGACTGTTCAGTGCCTTGGAACGTCCTCCCGACATGAAAGGCGCTCTATAAATGTAATTTTGTTGTTGGCCACTTGAGTTTCCGAGTGGATGTTGCCTTTTCTCCTGCTGATATATTAGATGGACAATAAATGAGAATTTTGCACTACTATAAAAATGAGCTGTCCATGCTGTTCACTTTTTATTTCTCAGAAAGAAGCAGGCGAATTTGCAAAGCTCAGCCCTGAGGAACAGCAAAGCAGACTCAAATCTCTCATCAAAAAGATGGACTTAAACTCAGATGGCTTTCTAAGCCATGGTGAGAAGCTGTTTACTTATTTGTAGTATGAGGTTAACATTGAAATCACTCTGGTATTTAATTTCCTCTTGGGGACTAGGCTTCTATTTAGAATATACAGATACACATATATATATATATATATATATAAATACACACACACGCACGAGTACTAAATCCCCAGATAATGGGGGGAGATCCAGTCCAGCAAACTGGATTCTCCTTCTAACTGCCGATCCTAATCCTTATAACATTTAAAATAATAAAATGTAAGTAAATCCTCGCCAACACTTAAAATTAATTAAAAATGAATTTTAATTAAATAAGACCAAAAAACCCCAAAACAATAGTTCTTTACTCACCACTGATGGAAGCTAAAGCCGTATAACCGTTGAAAGCAGTGTCCGTAAGCATTCCTGCTGCTTGTCCAGCTAGGACTTCACATTTGGGATACTAGACAAATAGCAGTTGATAATCTGCCATTGGAGTCCTGTAGCTCAATGGTTACTCACTTTGTAAGTGAGACACCTGGGTTCAATTCCAGGCAGGGCGAAACCTTGGGTAAGTTTCCTTACTCCATACGCCTGATAATAATCCCTCCAAAACAAAAAACAATAACAAATTGGTCATTTTCAATCCACGACTGTTTGTGGGACACTGCTGTGTGCAATTGGCTGCTGTGTTTCGTCCACAAATATACTTTCACTTTACAGCATATTCTGTGAAGCGCTTTGAGACGTCTAGAAAACGTGAAAAGTGCTATATCAATTGCAAGGATTATTATTATAATAACGCATGCAAATACTTTGAATAAACATATATAGATCTGAAAGTAGATAGCTGCACTATCTTTGTAAGAGTTTCTGATATCCTACAGGTGAGCTTAGCACATGGATCCAGAATTCATTCAGGCATTACGCCACCCAAGACAGCAAAGATCAGTTTCCAGAATACGATGTGGATGGCAATGGAATGATTACCTGGGAAGAGTACAACATTCATGCCTACGACCATGTCATGGATTACGATGAGAACATTCCCCTAGATGATGAAGAGGAGGAAAGCATGAGACAAGTGAGTGGTGGAAAGTTATTCAGCCTCTTGCTTGCTGTATACTCCATGCATGGCGTGTGGAGAACTGAAAGTAAACGTGGAGAATTGGAATAGAAATTATAAACATTTTCACAAAATGGATGATTAATATGTTATACAGGGTAGATTACAAGCCAATGTCATTTGAGGAATTTAAGACAGGGGACTAAATAATTGCTCTTTCAAAGAGCCAGCTCAGATACCATGGGCTGAATGGCCTTTGCTATGTTGTAAATTTCTATGGTTCTATCAAGTTTACTTGTCTGTCTTTTCTTCTCCTCTGTCTGTCTTTACGCTCTCCCTCCTATGGCCACCACTTCCCTCATCTCCCCTGCTCTGCATTTGATCTCAGCTTTATGAAGCATCACTATGCTTGATGCGCCATATAAATACTGTAAAAGTATTTGCTGTAGTTTGTCTGTATCAGAGCAATATATTGTTTATTCTTAAACAAGAGCTTTACACATAGAAAAGTACAGTTAACCTTTCTTTTCAGCTTTTTTGGAAGGATAAAAAACGTTTTGAAAAGGCAAACCTTGATGGATTACCAGGACTGTCTCCAACAGAATTTATAGCATTCGAACATCCAGAGGAAGTTGATTACATGATGGTGAGCTATAGACTATTTAAAAGCAATGTATTACGTGACGATTACAAAAGGAAAGTGCGATTTTTTTCCCCTTCTATATCAAACTAATTTTGGGGGGACTTATGCTTTTATATAAACTATTTCTGTTTAATTTTGATACGCTCATGCTTTTATTCTACATGATGGGTGTTATATAAATGCATGTTATAAAATATAAAGGAACTCAATATTAATTAAGGTTTTCCTTTTCAAATTGCAGGATTATGTCATACAGGATGCCTTAGATGAACATGATCAAGATAAAGATGGGTTTATCTCCTTAGAAGAATTCCTTGGTGATTATAAGAAAGATCCAAGTAAGTAGTCAAAATGTGACTCTTCACTGAACTATTTTGTGCTGCTTAAAATCTAGGTAGAGAATTTCCTAGTAATGGATTGCAGGTTATTTCTGTCATCGCCTGTGGTACTGCTACGATCATTAATTCTCTTGTGTAAAGATAGTCTGGAAGATCAAAGATGAAGAGAGCAGTCTGACAGACATAGCAGAACAAAAATAGAATGAAATACTCACAAACATGAAAGCTGTGTGCATCTTGTATCAAATCATAATAATCCTTTCATTTCATATAGTGCCTTATCAAGTTGTTGAGATGTCTTAAAACGCTTTACAGGATACACTGGAAAGTGGATTGACTATTTTGTAGGTGAAATGCGGCAGCTAGTCACGCACGGTAATGCCCCACAAACAGTCATGGAGTGAGTGACCAACTTTAATTGGAGGAGTTTCTCCTGGTGTCCTGGCCTCCAAATAAAATTGGTCACTCACTCCATGGCTGTTTGTGGGACACTGCTATGCACAAATTATTTGATTATTTATTATTTAACAGTGCATAATGCAATGTAGCTCTCTGACCAATCAAGATTTTGGCTATTGTGCTTCACGTCACCTCGCAAGCAAGAGACCTGGGTTCGATTTCCAGCCAGGCCAAAATGTTGGGCAAGTTTCCTTACTCCATACGCCTGTATACCTTGCAGTAAATAGGAACCCGGTTGTTAGTCGATTAGCAGATCATTTTTCCGGGGGTAATAATTCCTTCAGAAAATAGTAATAAATTAGTCACATCAATTCACGACCGTGTGTGGGTCACTTCTGTGAGTAATTGGCTGCCACGTTTCGCCCACAAAATATACAGTCACTTCAATTTACACTATATTCTGTGAAGCGATTTGAGATGTCTTGAAGACATGATAAAGTGCTATATCAAATGCAAGGTTTATTATTATTCTTGTATGACCCTTTTCCCTCATCCCTGTGTAATAATGTGTAGATGTACAAGATGATCCAGAATGGGTTTCTGTGGAGCGGGATCGCTTTGAGAATGATTATGATAAGAACACAGATGGGAAGCTTGACCCACAAGAACTCCAAGCATGGGTTGTTCCCAACAACCTAGAAGTCGCAGGAGAGGAGGTAAAGCAACTAAAATATCTGAGGCTGTACAAATTGCTGTTTGTGATCGTGGAATATCACAACATTTTATTTAGAAAAGAAAAAATATGCACTAAAGGAAAATGCTCAGTAATAGTCATATAAATGGAGTGACAGTATCACAAGATAGGTTCAGATAAATAACTACATTCTCAAAGCTTATTTACATCAGTCATTCCTCATACCATCCAAGACAAACCCGGAAGCACTTACACTAAAAACGAGTTTGAACCTTGTTTGTTTCACACCTTCTAGAAGCCAGTGTTTATAAAGGTACCAGCTTGTACTGTTCATCTTTTAACCTCATATAGGAACTAAATCACGTGATTTAATAGGTAAAGTATTTGAAATTTGGTACACTGGTGTACCTGGTATGATCAGAAACTCTAGTTGATGGGTGATCTGCCTGGTCACCCAGAGATGGCCACTAGGTGATGCAGGAGAGCCAGGTATTCACTGACGATATTGTTTGCTGTGTCAGAGATTAAAATTCAGATTTTCTGTTTTTGACAGGCTGAACACATCATCAAAGAAATAGACACAAATGGAGACGGAAAACTTACAGAAGCAGAAATACTCAATAGCCAGGATTTGTTTCTCAACAGTGAAGCAACAGACTATGGCAACCAAATACATGATAAGAAATTTTACCATGTGGAGCTTTAGTACTAGATGTTCTCCAGTTTGGGTTTGGATCCTATGAATAAACTGAACCCGTTTCCTAAATTCACTCTCTGTATCACTTCTTGCCATTAATGGACATTAGTAAATGAAGCAACCAATCCAATACGTCTCCATTCCTAAAATCCCCATTATCTTTTAATGTTAATAGTGACTATTCTCATTTCTTTTAACAATAATTCTTTTAGTTTAGCGCATTTCTGTTCAGGAGGACCTCAAAGCATTTCACAGTATACACTGTAATGTTGCCACAATTAATTTTGCAGAGGTTTAGTAGAGGTGCCATTATCTCCATCCTCACTCAGCTCACCTAGCTGCCCATCACCCAACAAATTGAATTCAAGATCCTTGTGTTCAACTCCCTTCTGACCCTGCCCCACTCTACCTTGCTACCTCCTGTAACCTAACTGATCCTGCTACTCCCTCGGCTCATCTAACCCTATTGGGCAAGCTTTCAGCCATTCAAGCTCCCATTCTCTGGAACTCCATTCAAATGTCCTTTTGCTCCACTGCCTCCCCATCTTTAAAGCCTGCCTCATCTCCATTCGTTTGACTGCACTCTCAGTCATCTTCTTCTCAGTTGCTTAGTCAGCAGTGAAAAGTAGTTTGAGATGTCCTGACAACAAAGGTGCTGTATAAATATAAATTGTGTTGGTTCCTAACTAATGCGATATGAATATTTGTAAATACTAACCAGCCTTTAGCAAACAACCTTCAACTTCTGGTTACTTTCCATTCCAAAAATATTCAACAGATTGTAGTTATTTTTAAAAACAAGTCTTCTCTTAATCTTGTATAGAGTAAATGGAACATTGCAATGTATTATTTCCCTTGTGAAACCTCAAAGTTTGTTAGATTTCAGTGGTTGAATCCTTTTTGAGAAATAAACCCAAAGGTGTGTCCCTTTAGTGATGTACTATCCACCCTCACTGAATCCAAATGTTAACTTTATATCATTTGCCTCTTCAGGAGGTTTGTATATAAACAGTATTTAAATTTGCAATTGTCTCTACAAATGCGCACCCTTATCTGTTTTGTTTTGAGTTTCCTTTTTTAGTAAGAATTTATAGAAAGTAACCTTTTAACTTTTCTTATCTAATGAATGTGTAGAATCAGTTCAAATGTTTCAAGCACGCCTTTCATGGCGTCTAGAATAGCAGTTAAATGAAATGATATGAATTACATTAGCCAGTGGAAGAATTAAAAAAAAGTTCCACTAATTTGAAGAGTGCTGAACCATTTATGGAACACTGCTTTACTGCAAAATGTATAAAAAGAATGTTTTCAAACACACTTAATGAAGAGGCTGAAAAAGACAGGTCAGTGTTATTTAGGCTTCTGAGAGATTAATACTGGGTAACACTAGCATGCATGTTTAAATTGCATACATTTAGCTTTGATTTATAAGTAAGAAGCATTTAAATAATATTGAAAAAGTTAGTGCCTTCAGATTTGACACTAAGGAAGATAAGAAAATACTTTTTTTTGTTATGTTCTGGTTGTCAGGCTTTGTCCTAAGCAATTGTTTCTTTCTTAGCTCCCTAAACTAAGAAAGAAACAATTGCGCCTCCCAATACTTTACTAAGACAACACATTCCCTCTCTATCTTTAAGGCTGCCTTAAGACCTATTGTTTTTACTGCACTTTGGCATCTGCTCAAGTGCCTAATCAGCAGTGAAAAGTATTTTGAGATCTCCTGACAATAAATCCTGTACTTTGCAAGAATACAAGTAATACAGTAGAAGGGCTTTGATCAATCTAGTTATAATGAGTTTGAGTCAAAAGTACTAATTTTATTTCATAAAGCATATTTCGTGTTATCTCATGGTTCTGCTCTCCCTCTTCTCTCCTTGCACTCCGATTGATGGCCTGATTCAGAGCAGGGCCTATCATTGGTCTGTACCCCTGTCAAATCAGTCTGGATGATTTCCCCCACCACCACCACAATTGATGTGGGTTGTTCTGGCAGGAAGTATTGTTACAGGGTTGGCGCAGGAAGCATTGTTTGGTTGTCAGAAGAAGTGTTGTGGGGTTTGGTTGTCGAGAGAGAGGCTTTGCTGGGCAAATCAACAGCAACTTCTACATTAACTTGCATTTATCTAGCACTGCTCAGCCAGGGTAGCGTCCAACAACAGTCCCTTGGGAAGTATGAACACCTCCCTTGGTGCCCTGCCATGCCTCTCTCGGGAGGGGCATCCAATTCATTGTGAATATCTGTCTAGACCAACAAATTAATTGCTCATTATTTCAAATATTTTGTTGTATGTGCTTCCACTGAACCTGTTTAACTTTCAGACATCGGTGTAAAAGTCTTCCAAACTTTAAGATCGGACTATGAAATGTCAAATAAAACAATGTCAGGTTCAGAATTGTCTACAAGTTTTTCTTTTGAAACTCTGCTTAAGTTGTTACACAAGCACGTCTGAAATGTTTACATTTCAGCAGATAATTTCATGTGCTTCCAAGTATTCAAAATATAGCTTTTTTTTAAAAAAAAGCTCTCGGTTCTCATTGCAGTTTTCGGTAATCTCTCATACCTCAACCACAGTACTAATGACAGTCCCGGCCACATTTTGAGGTTTCCTTTGTTCCTATGTGGCCATTTGGGTGTAATCAAGTATAGAAAACCATATTCTTTATTCATATTAGGTTATACCAAACACATTACAAGGAACATTAGCTGACAGTGAAACTAAAATATCTGTAAGATGTTGGATGGTCCATCCAACCCAAAGTATGAGTGTGATTGATTGTGATCAAAACTACTAATACTAGATTTATCTCATTCCTTCTGCAACCAATCAATTCCATTTTGGAGAATGGTGATGAATAGTTTCAGCTTTTCTTTTATGGTTTATTCCTGTGGATGTATAAGGATATACAGCAATTTGTAACAAAATCCTAGAATTCCCATGGAACTGAGGAAAAAATTCAACTGCAGAAATAAATAGCATCTGTATGAAGTGCAATACGATTTGTTTCCAGAAGGATTCACTATTTGCACAATTAGATTCCTTGTTTAGAAATCCTGTGTTTCAGAAAGAATGAATGATTCAAGGCCTTTGACAGTATATTGCAAAATCTATTTACTGTAAAGTGTAGCAACTGTGTATTCTGTAGGTAAACGTGACAGCCAATTTGTGTACAGCTATATCTCACAAAAAACCATGAAGTGAATGACCAATTTTACTCCAGCTTGATGGAATACATCCATTACTTTTCTCAGCACTTAAACGTTCTATTGACTAGATAGCAATCCATTCCATATTTTAAGCCTCAAATTGTGTATCCCCGGAGGCAAAAGTACCTTTGAAGCATTGGTGAGTTCTCTACTTTTTACTCTTGGTGGTGACTGAGATCACAAGCTCGCTGAGCTGGGAACCACAAGGATTGAACATGTCTGCTGTCACAACACCGAGGGTGCAGCTCATCAGTGAGTATACATTGGATCAAGGTAATGGTACTTTTTATTTTGCAAGGATGAACAAGGATGATATTTTGAAAAGTGTTTGTGGCAGCCACTCTTTGTAAACCAATCTACATTGCAATAGGAGAGGACCATTTTGCTCACTGCCCACAAAATATACAGTCAATTCAGTTTACAGTGTATTCTGTGAAGCGCTTTGAGATGTCTCGAAAGACGTGATAAGGTGCTGTATCAAATGCAAGGATTATTATTATTTCACCTGCAACATGACAGACCATTTCTGATGCCAAATTTCCCCAAACCCTGCCATCCTCCTTCATAATTTTACTCCCCCATAATTTATTCATCTCTTAAATTGTGAATTTTAGAAATTATATATTTGCATCTTTGGCACTTTCAAAACAGAGTGCATAGTAGGGTGGAGGTCACAAATGTAATGCAATTCAAGGAATAAAACTCTCGAGGAAAACATTTTTTAAAAAAAACATTAGCCTTTTTCATAGAATAAATGTGCTTTCATCTTTAATCAATCTGTTCAACACAAATAAAAAAAATCACCCTGATTGTTTAGATAAGTTCACCAAGGTAGATTTTTCCAGTCAAAAATATCAGATTACAGCGACTTCAGTATTCAAGAAAACCACGTGTTAATTGTGGCCATTTCTGACATCATTTTTGACTGTACAAAAACTTCCTTCCTCTTTTTTCTAGTTGGTTGCTGGTAACGCAGAACAGTAAAGCGTTTCAAAGAATTAGAGGCACTAAGTCATTCCTCTGCAGCATTTCCAGAAAACCTGTGCAAACCGAAAATCTTTTTGCAACTGGATTATCATCCAAATCCTGCAGCAACTCTTCTCCCATCACATCGCAGTGAAAGAGCTCAGACCTCAGATAACATTGCAGCCAGGATTTGTAACATTGTGTTTTAAGTCAGCGTTACAGCGAGTGGATTCTCACCCCCATCACAATGACCCGCCGCCGGTTTAAGGACAACTTTTGGGTAAGTGCCAGGGTTTCGGCTGAATTGCATTAAACACCTGTGGCTCTTGGTTCCCTGCGATAGTGATGGTGTTGGTGATGCACCAACTTGAATGCTGCTTGAAATAGGGGCAAAAAGGATTGTGTCCCCAGAGAGTCCAGTACTCTCTGTACTGCTATTCCAATCATATGCGTCTGTCTATTCCTGTTTGGCTTTGGCTTTGACTTGATCTTCACGACAACCAAAAGCTGCACCTTATGAAGTAAAGATCTCTCGCTTCTAGAAATATAACAATACTCGAGCCCGTTTCAGAAAGTCTTGTCGTTTACCCGAAGTCTAAGAACAAGTGTATTTTTTTTGGGGGGGGGTTGGCAAGAGAAGATGTTCTATAACACCAGATGAATGTGAATACTTGGTGCTAACGCCTTTATGCATTTCCTGGTTGTTCTGTACAGGGATCTGTTGCTGCTGTAAATGCATTTTGATCAGAGTAAGGTTCTCTCTGCATTAATAATGTGATTAGTAACCATCGTCTCTGAGCGTTTTACCTTCTCGTTGTTTTTTAAACTGCTTTAGTCGGCGTTGTGACCATAAGATTTTGCATTCCTGGACTACTGAGCAGTTAATCTATCTAGACTGCTGCCCAACCCATCCGTTAAACTCAAGCTTTTGAAACGAGGTTACTGGTACCATCAGGGTGGGGAGGGAGGAAGTTAGATAACCCAGAATAATAACGTTTCTGAATCTCTGAAAAATACAGCGTTATCAAAAACGAGAAACTGCTAAAGAGTCAGAGCGACAACACCTTGGTTTATATTTTTAAATCCAAATAAATGATAGTCTGAATAATAACACATCAGAAATTGTCACAATGCCGAGGGTGCAGAAAGCGATTTCTTTTCATTTCATTTCTCCCAGGACTCCAGGAGTTAGTTTTGACAATTATTTCACCTGTAGTTAGTATTTCTGCATTTATGTAGAATGCTGCACTTCTGTATTCTGTATTCTCAGAATCCTCTCTCTGGGGATTTAGTCTTGACTTCGTTTTATTTTAACCTTTTACAAGATACATAGATCAGGATTATTTTAAGACTGGGATTGGCAGACAGTTGACAATCTGGACGTAGAATTTCCTCTAATATTTTTTGACAACTGTTTTCACTGTGTTTCCCAGTCCCACAGAACCTCACACTCTTTCTGGGTCTTGAATTTCGTGTCACCTTCAATTTGAATTATGTGCATTTTGCACTTGACTCGACTCTACAATAAATGAATGTGTCACTGATAATTCAGTGAAAGCCTGTGTCCTTTGAAACCATCATTGTCAGGATTAATCCACAAGATTCGAATCTGTACCAGAGTGGAAGTGTAGTATTTACAAAAATATAACACTCGGTATGTTTAAAAAAAAACTGTAAAGGAGGTCTGCAAACAGAGAAGATAATGTAAATAAAGATGAGATATATAGCTATACTCTCAGCTCCAATGGTGTCTGTTCAAATGTGCTGTACTTTATTTAAAAATTGGCTTCCAGACTTGCGTTTCTTTCTATTAATATTAAAAGCACACTCTCCCCTCTCCATATACCAGGAGTAATGGATATCTCGGAGTCATTTTAAAGCAGTAATCCGATGAAATGATTCAAATGACATTGTAATCCACAAAGGCAGAGCCTGGGAACAGGTTAAGTGTCTTTAAATATCACATGCAGTTGATTTGGTTAAACTCTCTACAGTCCAGCTTCCTGCTTAACAACTGCTGTGGCATTGAGATACTAAGTAGAATTTGTACCTTTATACAGACTATACAGTCAAACATCTCAAAGCGCTGCCATCAATTACTGACAGGTTTAGTGACTGTTTTTATGGCAGTCATTTATCTGGAGGCCAAGGCACTAAGACACTACCCTCTCTTTTTGAATAGCATCATGGAATCTTTAACATTTCATCTGAAAGATGTAGCTCTCCTCCAGCGCTGCACTGGAGTGCTAACCTGTACTTTGAGCTCAGTTCTGATACTGGTCTTAAATTAGCCACAACCTTCTAATCCAGGGTGAGAGTTCTCTTGACTGAGCCAAGTTGACACCCAATAGTGTACTTGTTGAAAAACTAATGAACTTTGCTGCATGAATATTCTACGTTATGATCTGCAGTTGACTACAACAACAACAACAACAACAAGATTCCATTTATAAAGCGCCTTTCACGTCAGGAGGACGTCCCAAGGCGCTGCACAGTTGGGTCATGACCCGAGCAGGGGGGAAATGGTCAGGGTGAGGGGAGGGAAGGGAGGGAGCGAGGAGGGGGGAAATGGTCAGGGTGAGGGGAAGGGAGGGAGCGAGGAGGGGGAAGAGAGTCGAGAGGGGAGCTGAAGGCACGGTCAAAGAGAACTACATTTGCAGTAATGGAGTGTATAGTCATGATGTATAGTATATAGTCAGCATTTCATAGCCGCACTGCACCTTACAGACTGTAGGCTTTTACAACCCAAACTTGGTATCAGTTAACCTCTTAATTTATTTTGCCTTCTCTCATTTGCTTTTCATCTTTTCTGGTGTTCTAGACCATGAGGCTAACCTTCGGCCTAGAATTCTGAATACCCTGAATTAAGGGCATATGACAGGGGAAAATGGTGACTACTTATGTACCGTAGATCTACTTTGGACATAGCTACACAGCAATGGATTATTTTGCCTATGTTTCCAATCACTGAACTAAATAGGTATGAGTAAAAAATAGTCAAAACTATAACCACAGAAAACCTGGTCTATATTTCCATTGGCAGTACACATTCACATTTTTGTACTAACCATAATTTTTTGGTATAAAAATGCATAATAATAATACTTGCATTTGATACAGAGCCTTATCACATCAGCGAGATGTCTCAAAGCACTTCAGAGGATATACTATAAAGTGGATTGATTGAGTATTTTGTGAGCCAAACGTGGCAGCCATTTGTGCAGAGCAAGGTCCCACAAACAGCCGTGGAGTAACTGACCAATTTTATTCGGGGGATTTGATGGTCAGGACATTGTAAAATATTAATATCTTTGGAGGGGAGGGAGTTAAAATAACAAATGACTATGCACATAATTAACGTATATTTCAACTTTTCGAATAAGATTCCTGGAGGATCAATAACCATTAAACTCAAAGGCATCAAAGCTAAGCTAAGGTCATTGTGTAAAAATTCCACAAAGTTGAGTAAATTTACAGTTCAACAGAAAATATGTTATTCTCGCTTGTCAGAGATCATATCCACAATTGGAGAATGACTCAGTGGAAGATGACAGACAGACAGAGAGAGAGAGAGAGCGCAGAGATTGCATTTCAGAGTCTTGGTTAGACAGAGTGAGCCCTGAGGCAATTGAGTGTGTTCATGCTCTGGAGCTGGAGATAAGTATGATGCTGTCAAAATAAGTCAGATGAATAATAATAATAATAATCCTTTCATTTGATATAGCGCTTTTCACGTCTTCTAGACGTCTCAAAGCGCTTCACAGAATATACTGTGAAGTGAATTGAGCATATATTTGTGGGCGAAATGCGGCAGCCAATTGCGCACAGCAGTGTCCCACAAACAGTCGCGGATTGAAAATGAAGTAGATGAAGTAGAACATGTACAAGGAACAGGTTGTTACTCACTGATCACGCACTGTGCCAGACCCTTTTTTTAAAAAAAACACTTACAGTCCATGAAGTCAACATACAACTTGTGCAAACTAATCATGAACATGAAACTCCAATCCTAAAGTTATTTCCCCAAACTCAGTTTCTCTATAGTTATGGCAAATTTCATGGACAATGAGTCTAACATGGTGCCATTTGATTTTTTTAACAATTCTGATAGTACTGAATTGTTTTTGAAACATGGTGCTGCATTATAGTCATTCACAGCAGGAAATCGTTACAACCACTTATTCAGAGGGAGTTGACACACAGTGCAAACTGCATAAAGAAAGATTATGTGACAAAGTGTTTACCTGTCTGGCTGACATCAGTGACCTGAAAATTCAACCTCGTCTTATCTTGAGTGATTAAAATTGCACAGAATTGTGGAAGTATTTTTAAGAACTGCCAAACACTGACTTTCAAATTAAGAATGTGTTTAAGAATTTTGCACGTTTCCGCAAGGCTTCTGGAGAGAACCTGTCTGACCACTCAGTTGCCTCAGAACTCACATCATCTAACCCAGACACTGAAATGCATACTCCGCACTCTCTTTTTTGTCTGTTATTTTCCACTGGACATACGACTCAACAGTCACTCCTTCATTGGGGCTGATTTGCATGTTGCATCTTGGCTTCACAAAATGGACGTACTTTGAAACAAATTTCAGGACAAAATTAGCATACAAGCTTTGGTGGAATTTGGGGCTTCTGAATCCTGACCCGAGTTGATTTCCAATTGCTTAGGAACGATGCTAGGGCCTTGGAGGCAGTGCAGAGGAGGTTAACAAGAATGATCCGGGAATGAAGGACTACAGTTATTGATAATTGGAGAGGCTGGACCTGTTTTCATATGAGCAGAGAAGATCGAGGAGGGACCTGATTAAGATATACAAAATCATGAGGGTTGTGTTAGTGTTAATAAAGAGGTTATTTCCATTGATAGGGGAAACAATAACTAGGAGACATAGTTAACAGATAACCACAAATCGTAGACAGGACCATTAATAAAAGAGTTAACGTTTTTACCTTTTGAGGTACATTTGCAATTGCTGGAACACTTTGAACCATCAGGAACAAAGGTTTTTGTACTTTCACTTCCGGGACCTGAGAATAACCTCCAGTCAATAGCTCCATCCCCAGGTAGATGTTAAAGATCATAAAACACTATTGGAAAACAGAATGGAGTTGCTTACTAGGGTCCTGGCCCACAACTCTCTAGATTGGTCAGAAATTCACCTATTTCAGAGATCTTGTATACAAAGTAGCTGCTGAATATGCCTCATAAAGTTAATTATTGTGAAGACTTTAACATATAAGTCAGTAGGTAGTAGGAACTAGCAGTAAGAAGGAACCCGGTTGTAGGTCGATTGGTGGATCGTTTTTCCAGGGGTAATAATTCCTTAAAAAAATAATAATTTGGTCAATCAATCCATGACGTTTTGCCCACAAAATTTACAGTCAATTCATTTTACAGTATATTCTGTGAAGTGCTTTGAGACGTCGAGAAGACATGATAATCCATTGCAAGGATTATTATTATTATGTAAAGTGGTAAAAATGTCTATGTGCTGACTGTGTTGCCACAAGTGCCCCGTTTGGCTTGAGCCTAAATTGTTCAACCTCAATTGTTAGTGGGTGTAAGCTTACTGCACAAAACCCATATTGGAACCCACAGGGATAGTTAGTGGAGAAAATGAAAGTGACAATCATAATATTTGACCTGGCTGGTAAATCCTCACTTTTCATATTGGTTGCTTTAACAGAATATGCTGTGAAAATATGCCACTGAACTGCCTACTATCGTTACTTTTCATTGCAGTCACGCACCACAACTTGGTTGTTTCTTCCTCAAACAGTTCTACCTCCTTCCTGAAACATTAATTCTGTAACATCAATTATCTTACCCAACATCGGAAGCCTATTTAACATATCTTTTTCTCCATTCCCTTCCTATAGCCTCTTCCTACTGTTACCCACTAATCCCCCTTCACCACTACCACCATTATCCACCTTTTGTCAACCCATAGTCCAGATGCACTGCTCTATTACGAGTCTCTCCTCTCTTGTGGCAGAACCAATCTATCTCTTCACAACTTTGGTAAGCTAAACCCAGCAGTACTATGAGGACCAAGAAAAAAAAATGGATCAGGTCTCAACTCCCAAACCGTACGTGAATGTTAAAAATTGACTAAAAGTCACAAGACTCAATTAAGCAATGATAAACGACACATTTGGGAGATATGACGTAATTTGAAGGATTGACTCACTGGTCCTAACAAAGTTGAAACTCCACAAAAGGAACAATGGTCGATTTCATTCTTAATGTGGTTATTTGTGCAATCTTTACAATGTGGTATGATCCTCCCTCATCTGTTTAATAACACAATACTTATTTTTATATGCCATTGCATCACATCATCAAATCATCTCAAAGCACTTCACAGGACTTTCCTGTAAAGTGTAGTGACTGTATTTTATAGACTAAGACAGCAGCTAATTTGCAAAAATACCCAGAAATTCACACTGGACTAACTATTTCAGGAAACGACACAGTGCTTTAATTGGAGTTCTTGTAAGTGTCAAGTTTGGGGAACTGAATGGTAACTTGCCCCCACTGTGAGTATCATCCATTCCTAAGTCACCTACAGCTGATTACTTACAAGAGAAAACCTCTCCCATAGTCTACTCCAACACAACTTCATCCAAGCTTCAGAAAAATACCCTGTACTACACTGCTGTGGCATTTCCCATAACAAATGTCCTTGGTCTCAGATTAGGTTACCAATTTAATGCTGAATTACGGACTTTGTCGTGGATTAACCCAGATCACATCTAACATACAACATATATTGCATCTATCATGTATGGATGAACATAGCCCAAGCCATCTTGAAATGTAATATTGTGCATCAGTTCCAATGAAGTCAAGTTATTTGTGCCTCCACTCAATCCCAGACTAGTATTCTGGGTTAATACACAGAAGCCAATGTTTGCAGAGGGCAGCATCTCTTTCCACTGAGTTCATGTAGGTACCTTGACATGAGTGACCAGCTGATAATACAAGTTTTTATTTTACGAGTTCAAACTATTGTCCGCACACTATTGTACTAATGTTCCCTCAAGTTTGTGAACATGATTCAGTCAGCTAACCTCAAACAAACCAAATTAACCATATAAGGAAGATCATGTTGCATATTGTTCCTGTATTTCTCTGTGGTCTTTAATTTCAAATCCTGTTATTCTTTGGTTTTGACAGAAATGTCCATTGGACTGCCCAAATTTAAGTTGAATTTCCTGACGTTATTCTTCGTGCAGGACATCAGTGCTGTTAAAAGAAATGTTCCTGCTGTTAGTGCCAGCCAGGTGGTGCTTTGGTCAGCCATCCATGAAAACCCACCACAATGCTTTTGTCACTGTGAATATTGTGTAAGGCCTCCTGTTGCTTGTCCAGCTAGAACTACCCTAATGGTTAGGTCTTTGACTTGCAGGGGTTGGAAGGAGCCACGTAGGAAGAACCCCAGCCCCCACTTACTGGTCTACTCCTCGGGGTCGTATTAGCAACCCAGGTTGGCTGGGCCAACATCAATAGTGCCCTAAAGAGTACTGCAGAGATGCCCAATCTAGGAACCTGTCCACTGTTACTGGGATACTAGCCAGCATGAGGGGTGCTATATAAATGCAAATTGTTGTTGTTGTCTTGCCATAGACATTCAACCTGTTTCCAGTATTCCATTGTCAGGGGTTTCACCTTGGAGCAAACTCAGCTCCAGAACCCCTGCTTATCTTCCCCCAAGGAGGGTAATCACTAGTTGGGAATCGCAGGTTTGAGCCTTTGCTAGGTGCCAAGTTCTCCTTGTGAGCCACATGGTTAGCAGCACAATTCAGTTCACACAGTGGTGCCTACCACACAATGTCCTACATTGTTTCCCTCACTTCCTGCGCAGGTGCACTAGGAACCCCTAAACTCTGTCACACAAAGTTACAGAGTAACAATACCCTACCAGTAGGGTTGGTGCTCTGTGTGCAGGCATCTTTGGAATCCTTGGTGTCCGTGACTGAAAAATGGTAATACAGAAAAAGACAGGAATTAATGTCTGACATTTTTTCACTTACCAGAAAATAGGAAACTGAAATATCCCACTTTTGACAATTAAGTAAGTGACAGACAACTAGCAGATCTATGAAGACAGGATCTTTTTAGAGCACATTTCCTCTAGCAACAAGAACATTGCCCAGTGCAATGGGAATAGTGGTGATGTAACCCATTTGCTAAATATGCTTGTAACTGTATTAGTCTCCACTTACTCCTGGTTCCCAAACTGATGGCTGAGATCTCAAATGCACTTTGATTTCTTTTTTTTGAAATAAAGACTATTTGCTAAGAATTAAAATTACAAAAACTACTGATGATTTAATGTCCTTCAACAACTTCCCTACCCCACCAAAGCCGAGGAGTTCCTGAGTAACAGTTACCAAATGCACAAATGAGCTTCTTCTGATGCAATTTCAACATCACAGTAAAATATATATATATACACTGTGATAGAAATTAATTTCAGTGATTAATGGAAAATTTCCTGAAATTTGCTACACCAAATTACAACTATAATCATTGTATTTGATATAGTGTCGATGATATCAAAAGTCTCCATGAGTGTCGTAGCTAATTATTGTCAATTGTGTGTGGGGATAGTGTGGGTATTGGCCAATTCTGATGGAGAAAACAGAGAAAAGGAACTGTTGGGTTTATTGTAACCGCTCTTTCCTCGGTTGTTTTCAGTGTCCAGAGTTTACCAGCCAAGTTGGGTATGAAGTAATACTGGAACGACTTCATGAAGGTCGGAAAATGTGCAAAGACATGGAAGAACTACTAAAACTAAGGTAAGATTCAATCGGATGCCACTGTTTTTTTTAGAGAATTGTCATTGTGTGGAAATTTATAAATCAGCAGGTGAGAAGTGGAGAAACTGAGTGTTCATGTTTTCTCGATCTAACTTTCAGATGCCTTCCCAGCCTTCCGCTACACCATCTTTGTGGTTCCCCCTCCCCTGACCCATCCCTTCCACCCTAATGACTCAGACCTGTTTCACATTACCCGTCGCTTTTGCTTCACCATAAGCTGGGTGAGCTTTCAACTCTGGAACTCTCTTCCCAAATTTCTCCACCTCACACTCTCCTCCGTTTTCAAAAACCTTCCTCTTTGACTGCGGCTTTGACCACAACCTCCTATCTCCCATTCTGTGCTTTGAGGCATTTTCCTATGTGTAATGCACATAGTTAAGTGTAGACTTTTGTTTCCCATTTTACTATCTACAAGGAAGTTTGCTATATGACTCTACATTCAATTTATGATTTTAATTTCTACTTTGATACATTGCTGTCCTGTATTACCATCCTTATCCTTGTTCTCTCCACCGTCCATTCTCATCAGTGAGAATATTTTCTCATTTATATAACGCCTTTTACGGTTGGCGCTATATAAATTTCATTCATATTTTATGCGCTCATGTGAAAGACACTATACAAAAAAATGCAATCAGTGCTAAACATAATCTGTTCTTTTAAACACGAAGAAATTGCATTCTTGTTTTAGTAAATGGACTGAATTTGTTGATGCGTGCAGGACTATTCTGCTTTGTTTATCATCATTATGTGTGCTTAAAAATAGCAGTAGTTAAATTTTCTAATGCTAACCAAAATTAGATTAAGAAAAAAATTAAGATATAAACATCAAATTACATTGGCTGTTGATAATCATACAGCAGTGGATTTTGGACCATTTGGAACTCCTTTCCACAGTCCTTTGCCTTGTTCCCTCCCTTGACTCCTTCCAGGAATCACCCTCCTACCCCTACCCTCTCAGCCCTCCAGATCCCAAACCCTGCTCAGATCCAAATCCCTGACTGTCCAGCATCTTGGGACATCCTCCCAAAGTGAAAGGTGCTATACAAATATAATTTGTTGTTGCTGTTGATTTGCTAAACAGCAAGTTAAGAATAAGTTTACATAAGCAAAAATATTTAATAGTAAATTCCATAAAAGTAGGGAAGTCATTCCTATCCTTCAATCCACTTTACAATATATTCTGTGAAACGCCTTGAGACAGACATCTCAAGAACGTAATAAAGCGCTGTATCAAATGCAAGGATTATTATTAAATTTGTTTCCATGTTTGCTTGCATAGACATTCAAATCATTTCTAATCTTCTTCCGTAAAGCCCGTTGAGCCGTTTAATTGATGTGAAAGGTTTTGGTGTATAGAAGTGAAAATTGTGAAAGTCACCTGGAAATATACACTAAGAGTGATTATCCATTTATTTTCCTACACAGAGCACAGGCAGAAGAGAAATATGGGAAAGAGCTGGTGCAGATTGCACGCAAAGCTGGTGGCCAGACTGAGATCAAGTAAGTTCTGTATGGAACTATGAGGACATTGCAGTCTATCAGACGGATCCCAAATGTTGTTTTTTTTTTTTTACAGGATCAGGCTCCATTTCACTCGTCACACAATATTTAGTTATAATGAAAGATTCAGTACAATCTTACATTTTAATACAAAAAGCTCACAGGCTAAGACTAGGTGGAATTGTGAGACTCTGATATTAACCAGCCAGCTAAATACTTTATTGTGTGAGTGGTTTTCCTTGATGCAGTTTCCACTATAGGATTTGATTGTGATACCCTGACAATTGATTAGCCTGCTGACATACATTGTTGAAAGTCATAGATGAAGAACGTTTACTTAAACAATGCATCACAGATCAGCCAGTGCCTGTGGAAATTCCATCAAGTGCAACAGAGGAGAGACCAATGGGGAATTTATAGTGTACTTGGGAAAACGATAGTTTGCAATTTGTACGCAAAAACAGAGGAGAAAAGAAAGGTCAGCATGAAAATAGTTGTGTGGATAGATTTGTCTTTACTCAATCTTAAAATAGCCAATCTCTGCAAATGCTTCTTGCACAGAACACTGGACACATCAACTGTGCACACTGTTTGGAAAGTCCAGAGCACAGTAACTACAGAATAGTTCCCACTTCACCTCACAGTATTGCAGCATTGCACAACTAGTTGAGTTGCATCCTGCCATGCCAACTTGCAGTTTTCACATAAAGCACCTGGGCTTTGATCAGTGTACGATAAGTCAAGCAGTGAGTCAGTTGCACTGCAAAGCTCCCAAGATGATGTGTTCCAGAATGTGTTACAAACTTCTGACATATAGAGCAAGCCAAATGTAGACAGACGTTTGTAAAGCATTGCACATGGATCTGCAAGCCACATCAAGGTCCACTAAAGTATATTGGCAATGAACTGTTCAGAATACACAAAAACAAATTGGTCCAGCCAAAACCTGTGTATTAAGGAGCGTCGATCCCCTCTCCCACCATCACGACCCTTGTTAATTGTTCAAAGTTGACTCACTTGGCAAAACACATCTCTGAAACTTGATATGTGCTCACTTCCTGGCTCATGTGCTATACAGGGAACTGTTAAAACAGCTTGTGGTTACTTCTGCAGCAGGGTACGCGTGACAGGAAAGCTGAGAACAAACGTGTGAACCTATGAACTGCAGATCATACAAACATAGAATTATACAGCACGGAAGGAGGCCGTTCGGCCATCGTGTCCATGCCGGCTCTTTGAAAAGAGCTATCCAATTCAATCCCACACCCCACTCTTTCCCCATAGCCCTGCAAACTTGTCCTCCCCAAATAATTATCTACTTCTCTCTTAAAAGCTGTTATCGAATCGGCTTCCACCGCCCTTTCAGGCAATGCATTCCAGATCCGAACAACTCGCTGTGTAAAAAAAATTCTCCTCAGCTCCCCTCTATTTCGTTTAATAAAATATTTTTAAATCAGTGTCCTTGGGTTACCAACCCACCCGCCAATGGAAATAGTTTCTCCTTGTTCACCCTATTGAATCCCCTCACAACTTCTATTAAGTCTCCTCTTAACCTTCTCTGCTCCAAGGAGAATAATCCTAGCTTCTCTAGCCTCTCCAAGTCCCTGCATGCCTCTGCAGCCCCTACCTCTTTGACCTCTCTCCTCAAAACAGTACCCGTTGTCTTCATTCCTCCGGGTCTGGCCTCCTCCTCATCCCCCGAGTCGTTCGCTCCACCCTCAGCGGCTGTGCCTTCAGCCACTATGCCCCGAGGCTCTGGAACTCCCTTCCTCACGTCCTTCATCTCGCTCCCTCCCTTCCTATTTTCAGGTCTCTGTTGAAGACCTTTCTTTTCGACTGCACCTTTGGTCACCTTCCTCCCCCTCCCCCTGGCTCAGTCCCGGGATCCGTTACTGTGAAGCGCTCTGAGATGCCATTCGGCGCGGAGGGCACTATATAAATCCGAGTTGTTGTTGTTGAAAACTGAAGTCCCTCATTCTTTGTACCATCCTGCAACCTCTCCAATGCCTTGACATCCTTCCTAAAGTGTGGTGCCCAGAACTGAATGCTGTACTCTAGCTGAGGCCTAACCAGTGTTTTATAAAGTTTCATCATAACTTCCTTTTGTATTCTAAGCCCCTATTTATAAAGCCTAGTATCCTGTATGCCTTTTTAACAGCTTTATCCATCTGTCCTGCCACCTTCAAAGATTGACTTATATGAAACCCCCCGACCTGTTCGTTGATATCACTCCTTCCTCTGGGTCATTAGACTGTGGATTCACACATTACGACTTGAGCTCACAGTCAAGACCAGGGTCTCCAACCAGTCGATCGCTGTGAGCTGTTGCTCTCGCACTTGATCAAAAACATATGAGGAAGGAGCGATAGAACTGCATCATTATTGAGTCAAATTGAAAATGAAGCTAGGTCTAGAGCATCACTTTCGGGCCGGCACGGCCAAAGGTTCTGTCCTTCAGATGAGACATTAAAACCCAAGGTATCGTCTGTCTGATCATGTGGACATTAATGATCCTTTGACACTATTGGAAAACAGAAGGGAGTTTCTCTTGGTGTCCTGGCCAACAGACCTCCAAATAAATTGGTCATGGCATGACTTATGGCTGTTTGTGGCAGCTTTGTGTCTGCAAAATAGCTGTTTTGTTTGCTTACAGAAAGCAGTTCCTGAGGCTGACAATACTTAGGTGAAAATAATTATGGAGCACTTTGAAATCTTTGTAAGTTGTCTCTCTCTGAATGACGTAGCAGTGAGGGAGCTCTTGTCTCTTAAACTAGAAACAAGTGAAGTCACCAACAGGTTTCTAGTCGACTATGAGAAAGGGACTTCCTACCTTGTTGGATCTATAAGTAGCTCCTCCCATCCACCCCACACTCTATATTCACCTCAGCTAGAGCTAACCAATATACAGAGCAGCAAAACTCAGTCCCAGAGCTGCCTGCACTGCACATTAGAATACATTAAAATATACAGCACAGAAACAGCCCATTCAGCCCAGCTGGTCTGATGGTGTTTATGCTCTACATGATCTCCTTCTGCCCTTCCTCAATTAAGCCTTCAAGCATAACCTTCTATTCCTTTCTCCTTCATGTATTCCCTGATTTTCATTTCTAGGCCTTATTAACCTGCATTGCTACTTTTAGTGAATTGTGTATGTGTACCCATAGGTCCCTTTGCTCCTCTACCCCATTTAGGTTTTTATTTTCCAGGTATGTATGTGACTTCCTTCTTCCAAAATGTACCACCTCAAACTTTTCTACATTGCAATGCTTTTGCCATTTAAATGCCCACTCAGCAAGTTTATTTATGTTTTGCTGTAATTTGTTGCAGTCCTCCTCTGTATTAACTCCTCCCCCCAATTTGGTGTCGTCCGCAAATTTTGAAATTGTACTGCTGATTCCCGAATCCAAATCATCAATGTATATTGTGAACAACAGTGGTCCCAATACCGATCCACCCTCTGTCAGTCTGAGTAGCTACCCTTTACCGCTATTCTCTGTTTTCTGTTTTGCAGACAGCTTGCTATCCATTCTGCTATTTTTCACTAGTCTATTATGTGGTACCTTATCGAATGCTTTTTGGAAATCTAAATATATTACATCTACCGCATTAGCCTTGTCTACTCTTTCTGTTACCCCTTCAAAGAATTCTATAAGGTTGGTCAAGCATGACGTTCCTTTTTGAAATCCGTGCTGAGTATTCTTTATTACGTTTTCCATTTCCAGATGTTTTTCTATTACTTCCTTCAGTAAGGATTCCATTATCTTTCCTACCACTGCTGTTAAGCTGGCAGGTCTATAGTTCCCTGGGCTTGTTCTATCTCCCTTTTTAAATATAGATATAACATTAGCTATCCTCCAGTCCTCTGGCACTACTCCCTTTTCTAATGAGTTATTATATATGTGCAATAGTGCCTCTGCTATCTCTTCCCTCGATTCTTTTAATATACGCGGATGCAATCCATCTGGACCAGGGTTTTTATCCTCTATAATAAATAATAATCCTTGCATTTGACATAGCTATTTTCACATCTTCTCGACATCTCAAAGAGCTTCACAGAATAGACTGTAAAATGAATTGACCGTATATTTGTGGGCGAAACATGGCAGCCAATTGCGCACAGCAGTGGCCCACAAACAGTTGTGGATTGAAAATAACCAATTTATTATTGTTTTGTTTTGGAGGGATTATTATCAGGCAAAACATTTTTCGATTATATCTCCCCTTTGTATATTAAATGTCTGAATAATAATAGTATGAATAATAATAATAATCCTTACATTTGATATAGCGCCTTATCACGTCAAGAAGTCTCAAAGCGCTTCACAGAATATACTGTAAAGTTTAGTGACTGTGTATTTTGTGGGTGAAAAACAAAACAAGGGTCTACGTTATATATTATAAAAATATAAAGCAACACCCACACACGAAGAGCCAGATTGTATTACATTCTCATTCATTTGCAGCTTACTATTTGCATTCATTTGCACATTTCTCACAAAAATAAATTTTAATTTGCATTCTGTTCCAACAGTTCAAAAACACTGAAAATCAGGAGGGGGGGGGCGGGGGGAGAATAATGGATTTGAGTAAAACATTTCCCTCAATAATACAGGTTGCATTTGATTCAGAATAAGAGAATTAGACACTTTAAAGGGTAGAAAATGTGGATCTTTTAATTGATGGCTGTGAGCATTGGGACTGTTAATTCATCACATAACAGCATCAGATAGTTGCATTACAATGCTGCTCTCTAGGCTTTTGCATAACAAAAATCATTCCATCCTCATCACTATTCCTTTCCCTTTCCTCATACCCTCTTTCCTCCAATACCATTCCTGGTAATCCATTAATAAAAAAAAATTTGAAACTTCTTGCTATCAACTTCATGGAAGAACAATTGTGATTTTTTAAAAAAAAATCAGTACTTACTTAAATTTGTACTTTTATCTTTCCTTCCAATCTTCTCTGTAAAAGCGGTGAATCATACTGAAACACTGTTGTCCTTTCTTTTGGGGAAGAAACTGCTGGTTATCAAGTAATAACATGGAAAGATCAATCCCAAACAATCCCCTACCCGCTCTACAGAACAGCAGCTTATTCAGAAGATCAGAAAGTGAATGGTTAAGCCACACTGACCAAGAAAGTCCCAAGTTCAGTGCTGGACTAACTAGACTGAGTTATCTGATCTTAACCAGTGTGCAGTAAGTTGGGGGAAGGGGATTAAAACATGCATCAATAACTCTGGGTTAGGGAGGGGAAAATCAGTCAGGTTTCCTGCTCCTAATTGGTATCAAGTATCAATTTACTCTATTTGTCCCAGGTGCTTATAAATAATTCTAAAACAACTTTATAACACAAATAAGATGGCATTGTTTTGCCCACAAAATATACAGTGAATTCACTTTACAGTAAACACTGTGAAGCGCTTTGAGACAACTTGAAGACGTGATAAGACGCTAATCAAACACAAGGATTATTATTTTTTAATTTTTTAAAAAAAAAATTACTTTCTATCTGCTGTTAAATCACCAAGCCAAACACACTGTTAGTAGACAACTATTTTGATCATTAGAAAAAGAGAAATACTTCAACAATAGAGTGTACACTAACTCATGTTGTTTAAAACAACATTCACCATTATTACAGATAGTCTTCAAAGCTAAGTTGTAGGCACACATGGAACCTCACGAGTCATCATCAACGAGAAAGCTTTCTTGAAGTTGTGGATCCAATAAGATTCAAAATGCTTGAATGGTTACTGAGTTAGGTGCGATGTGTGGCAATCCACGTGCCACAAGTGGGAAAGGCAATGAGCATTCTTGACAAACAGCAAGGAAATAAATTGCCCACCTGGTTTTAGCTGCACCAGGCAGTCAAGCAGAAAGCACTGGGAAAGAGTGGGAGCCAGAGGGGAAACACAACAGCCACTTTGGCATCCAGACCAGCCCTGAACTTCTGGCAACCCGTAGTGGTTTTAAGTGAAACTTGATGGCACAGACTCGAACGCAATTCTCCAAGGTGGACGGACATGAGTTTACAGCTTGTAATTTCTGAGAAACTAACAATTTACACTTCTGTTTTTGTTTATAAGGATTATTATTATTATTGAAGACAGTCCACTTGAGTTGTAAAATAACCAAATGAAGGAGAATTAACATTCATCTCATAGTGACAAATCAGTTACGTGACCCCGACAGAAATTACTGTGAATATCGGGAAGGGGAGAGAGAAGAAACTTCCACGAAGAATTATGCTCGGTTTTCACCACGTCCATTGGTGTGAGCATATAGAGCTGATCACTCGCCTGCGTGTGTATTGGAGAAAGGATCTACATTATATTTAAATACCACAAACAAACCGAAGCAGTCATTTAAAAGACAGACTCGATCAGAATAATATTTCCATCAGATGCATTTGAGAAGGGATACATGAAGGGGTAATAAAACAGAATATCTCAGTTCTAAGCAAAGGTTTTACATTTTCCTTTCACCTCATCAAAATCTTTTTCGATGTTAAAAGATTACCTTGTTAATCGGGGTTTGTGTTGTGTTGAATTATCTGATCTTATCTTCAACATTGTGACCATTCAACAATTGGTCACAGTGACCCTTGTCCAGTGAGGAAAAAAATCAGAGTTCTTGCTCCTGATCCGGAGACCCCACGAGCTTCAAGTATGAATAATAATAATTCTTGCATTTGATATAGCGCCTTATCACATCTTCGAGATGACTCAAAGTGCTTCACAGAATATACTGTAAAGTGAATTGACTGTATATTTTGTGGGTGAAATGCGGCAGCCAATTGTGCACAGCAGTGTCCCACAAACAGTCGTGCATATGAGATAGTGAATAACCTTGTTATATTCTCAACCAGAAAACATAATATGCTGCTTGTTAATGGTTGAGAGAGCCTAGCACCCCATTCATAAAACATTTCTGTGATCGGGGAGAGTGTAAATTTCAGCCCCTCCTCAGCAGGAATAAATCTGAAAAATAAATATTCGATAAATAAAACCTCAGGGTTTAAAAATTTGAGAAACCAAAAATATTCGCCTCAGATTTTTTAAAAAAAGGTGGAGCTGCGATTTGAAACAGAAGAAACCACCTACCTGAGGAGATGTACTGCCATCTAGTCGGTGACAGTCAAAGCCGGCAATAGTTAAGGAATAACACAAACTTAACCTCACAATGTACGTAACTCAGTTTCTGAAGAACACTTTGCTGTGCGATGTGTGAGCAAATAGAACGCGATTTGTGATTTTTGTATGTTAGTAAACATGATGGTCGTCAACTATGGAGAATGGGACACTCTGCCAAGTTTTGTATCAATGTTAGCAGCCTACAATACACTGCAGAGTGGGTAATTGCAGTACAGAGGTTAAGATGAAAGTTCGGAGGCTTTTCACATTTACCCCGACACTGAGCCTTCACTCCAGCTTGAAAAGTGCAGCTCCTGCTACACCAGCGACATCCATTTCCCTGTAACTACTTATAAGGGAAGCTGCAAATGTCTGCCAATATCTATGTTTAGTGTACTGGACGTATGGCCATACTGTTTTCCAATTATTCAGACTAATTTCAATTAAATTATAGAATGTTACAATACAAAAACAGGCCATTTGGCCTGTCGAATGAGTATTGGTGTTTTTCTCCACATGAGCCACTTCATCTCATTCCACTCTGCATCTCACTCTCAACCCCCTTTTCAAGTATCTGCTATCTCCCAAAGCCACATCTGTCCCACAAATGAAAGGGCCCCTTTGTGGCCTTGTTCTAACTAGGAGGCATACTATACCTGTATAAGGAACATTTTTCTCAGTAGAAATCAGATAGACGCAATTAAATGATAAACCTCTTAAATACATTCATTAATGTCTATTTTGGTTTTCCTTTCAGCACGCTACGAATATCTTTCGATAGTCTAAAACAACGTAAGTATCATTCTCCTTCTGGAGAGTAGGGAACAATAGATTGGATTAGTGTCTATGCTATATTCTGACTTTCTCCCCCAAAATGAGATATACATTTTCAGTTTGGACTGTAAATAGTACATAAAGTTTAACTTCTTGCCAACTAGTTAATAAATTACTAAACTCATAACATTCAGTTAGAGGAGGCTTTCATCCCATCAGTCTGGACCAGGTTCAATCTCAAGTCCTGAAGGTGAAGGGACAAACAAGTGTGCTATCCTCTGCAGTCACAGTCGTCATTCAATCTCTAGTTAGTGTGACCACTTATGGAAAGGCATTCCATATTCTAACGCTCTGTGTAAAACAATTTCTTCTAACCCAGTGATAATACTCAGATAATTGACTTAGTGCTGAAAGGCAGCTGTATCAACCAAAAGGCAACATTGGGAAACCTTTATACTGTATAACTATGCACCTGGTCCACTTTCAGCACTTTAAGAATAGAGCTGGATATTGTATATTTTATTGAATACAGTATTTTGATTTGAGTAAATAGATTGGGGTGAAAATTGTGACCTGTCACTTTGAATAACACACTGTTAAAAAGCATAATGATTTGATATCTCATTGTTTACTGGTCTAATATGATTTCTCCCTCCCTCCCCACTCTGTCACAATGGCTTTACCAAAAGCCAGTCAGCAATGGAGTGTTGTTTAGTGCGACAGGAGCTTAATGCAATCAAACTAGCACTCCAATGCTGTGATCAACATGTGGCACAAGCCAACACAGTCATTGTAACTGAGTACATCTGGAAAACTGTCAATAAATAAAACCTCAACCAGACACATTTTAGTTCACAGGTTGCAGTTTTCACCCCATTTTAGACATAGGATTACTGGAGTAGAATCAGTTGAATAGATGAGATTGGGCATCTGTATTTGTTTCAGAAATGGAAAACATAGGAAATCTACACATTCAGCTTGCGGGCATGCTGAAGGACGAGGTTAAACGTATGGAGGAATTCAGGGAGAGACAGAAGGAGACGAGGAAGAAGGTAAGGAAGAGGAGATGGTAGCTCAGATTCATAACGTCCCAAGTGTCAATCAAGACAGTGATTGATAGGCCATCATCCTGAAACAATGCAATTAAGCACAAAGTCTCTGGGCCAATCATTATAAATAAAATATGAATGCATTTCCCTTTTAAAACAAAACCAGAAATCGCTGGGAACACTCAGCAGGTCGGGCAGCATCTATGGAGAAAGGAAAGTGAGTCAAAGTTTCGGGTCCAAGACCCTTGGCCAGGCATGAGTGAGATAGTGATAGGTTCCCATAGAAACATACCCCAATAATATAGAAAGTAAAATGAGTCAAACGCCTTCCAAAAAGGAGGAAGAAAGAAAGAAAGTTGTCAGTCTAGTTGATTTGAGTATAAAGCTATACTTGGGCTGTATTTGCTGTTGGGAGTAATTGATGCAATTGAAGATGTGTTGTTACAATAAGAGTCAATGAGCTAGTCCACATTATCCAGAATGTATTTGCTACCATCTGTTGGCTTTGAAAGGGTCATCTATTTTCGTTACCTAGATCCACAAAGCAAACTTGAAACTTATTTTTGTTTCAGAACACTTTTTTTTTTAGAAACCCCACGTATTTTGTTTTCTTTTGAGAAGCTTTCGGCGAGCTTCCTAGTTTGTCGCCACTTTGGTTCCTTTTAAGGTTGACAATGAGATGCATGTGACATGAACAGAACGACACAAAGTAAAAAACCTCTGTCCTAAAAATAATCAAGTGCTTTGGACAGCTCGTAAACTAGACTTCCCAGAGCAGAGCTGGCTGTGGTCAGCGTATACTACAACCTCTCTACATTTCAGACAAATTCCATGAATTGGTTTTGTGATGTAGAAAATATTCCGCTGCTCCAGCAGGTCAATAACTTGCATTTACATAGCATCCATCACACAGGGTAGAGTCCCAGATGGTCATTGGGGAAGTGCACCTCCCAACAAGGTACTGACCCAGACAGGCCGTAAAAATAAATCACCAACCTTACTAGAAGTCAGGAAAGTTTGGGAGAAAAAGAGAGGCAAACATAGATTGTATCTTATATGAATGTACAGAGATGTCCACAGGTTTTATTTTAGTAAATACTCTACTCATTCTGATGCATTCTTCCCAGTATGAAATTGCCATAGAGCGGATTCAGAAGAACAAAGTGGCTTTATACAAGAAAACTCTAGAGGTGAGTTGGGTATTGTGAGAACATCGGCATTATGGTAGCGGCTCAGCCAGTAGACTGCACAGCCAATTGAACCCTTCTTTCATCAACTACCCATAAATAAATGTTGTTAGTAAGAATCCATTCCTAAAGCACACAAACAGACTAATCAGTTTAATATAAGTTGTTTTTCTCCACCTGAGCCACCTTCATAGATTTATAGAAAGGAGAGTGGGGGGGAACTATAAGCTGAGAGGCTTATTGAGTACATCACCACAACCCATTCTACATCCCACCCAACACTGTAACTACTCGTCTCACCTGTTGTCAGTGACTAACTCTTTCCAGGAGAGGTGAAAAAATAACAAGACCGATTTGGGGGAGGAGGGAAAAGTGGCGAGCAAATTCATTCCAACCATTGGGAATGTCCATGGAAATATCTGCAGAATTCCATTATTTGGGTTCCAAGGTTCTCATGACGTCTGTTCTGACCCATTGACCTTTCTCCACCTGCCTCTGCTCTTGTATGAGCAAGTTGCAAATTATCCAGTTGCATCAGTCTAAATTGGAGATGATATTTTGCAATGTTTCGTAGTGTTCTGAAAGCATTGTCCCTGAAAGCATTGGTTTGTGTTGTGCCATTTCTTAGTTGAAGAAAACCTACGAGCAGAAGTGTAAGGAGGCAGACGAGGCGGAGCAGAATTTTGAGCGGATAAACTCTATAGGAACCCAGAAACAGATTGAAAAGGTATGAATCACCTGAGAGTTAAAGATGAGATGCTATCTGTACATGTTAATGATCAATGTATTTGCTCAGTAACAAATACATCTGTCTGAGTGAAGCATGGCTGCAAAATTAAACATTTTGTTATTCTCATGCTGCTCTTGATTGGTAAACGTTGCTCCCCTTGACACACAGCTTCTGGGAAATGCAAGTGCGAGAACATGATCAGGCTTGGCTGTGATCCCCTCTATGATCATATTGGTATGCAGGCATTCACTCTCAGACACTTACGTTAAGAATCAGTGGTAGCCATGGGCAAAGGACCTGATGGTGATCAGAGAAAGTTGGAGGAGAGCAAAAATCCGGCCCCTAGTTTAATGCACTTTTTCTCACAATATGTCCCTGTGGCACTTCACTTCGGGCACACAGGATCAGCAGGGATGTTCTGCATTCAGCTGGTAAGCTGGACAAAGCTCGCTAACCCTTCTGTAAGATTTACAAAAAGAGCAGCATTAAAGTGATGTTTATGTTTGTGCTTCACAGTGTCAGAACAAGGCAAAACAGTGCCGGGAGGTAGCGAACGATGCAGGTATGTAACTCCCACCCATCATACCAAACATCCTAAACCCAGCCTCGTGAAGTAATACAAAAGAGCAATGAGGATAATCCTCCTTCTCACATCTAAAGTTAGAGGGAGGATTTGTGCACAACAATGTCCTACAAACAGCTATGGAGTGAATGACTAATTTTATTTGGTGGATTATTGGCTAGGACACTGGGAGAATCTTCCTCCTCTTTTCAAATAGTACCATGGGATCTTTAACGTTCACCTGAACAGGCAGATAGGCCCTTGGTTTAATAGCTCATCCAAAGGACGGCACCTCCAACAATGCACTACATTGGCTTAGACTATACAAGTTCCATATGTGGGCTTGAACCCATAACTTTCTGACTCAGAGGCAAGGGTAACTTATTTGATGGGCATTTGTTATTTCTCTAAGAACTACAGAAAACTGGCTTAAAATTTTCATGATCTTCGCTTGCAAAACAGTGGACTAAAACCAGGCAGAATTTTGGTTCTCCAATTCCAAATTAAAAATCCCGGGAATATTAGGGAGAGATCAGATCTGTAAAAGGTTTTGAACTGTATTGTTTGAGTTGGGTGGATTTCAAATAACTAAGGGTATTACTGACTTCAGTTATAGTTCCTTCAAATGTTGAGGTTATCTATCTCTGCAATGCAGGCTGTGCTGTCTGAGTTTGGTATGATCCGCCCACGCGCAGCAACAGGAAACACAATCTCTATATTCCAACTCAACAAGCTACACTCTTCATACCTCTGACAATAATAATGCTTTGAGTTATTATTGCATTCGAATTTGCACCTTAACACCTATGTAAATGCAATATATTGTACATCCAGAGAGAAAGCCAGACTGGCATTTATCCTAAAACCAGCTTCTTTTTTTATTTTATTATTAGTTATTTTCAGATCTATACATTATATTTTATCAAGGGAAAGGCCACAGAAGTTTAAACTAAGGTTTTATACCATTTTACATTACTTGCCATCATGTGACCATCTCCCTTTGAGGGGGACATGTTCTTGAATGATATAGAACTTGGTAACTAAAGTAGAAGCAAATATAAATAGTTTCAACTAACTGAAAATACCAAAATCACTTGACAGTAGAACGATGTGTGTCCAAACGTGTCCACTCAATGCAAAAGAGGTGATGTGGACATAAAAAATGTAATTGCGTGCAAGCGCGCAAGGCTCTTGTGTATGCGTCTTAACCACAGCGTATGATTGTGAACCCTAGGCAACAGGTATTAGCGAACATATTCAGCATTCTGGTTCTGGTAGAGTTAAGAGACACAGAGAGATAGGGACATGATGTCTCACAGATTCTCATGGTAACAAGAGACATTTTGCTTTTCAGAGAAGTCTTATAAGTCCAATGTGGAACAGCTCGATAAACTTCGGGAAGAATGGGAACAGGAGTATTCTAATACCTGTGAGGTACAGTACACCAATTCACATCGAAGCTTTAATTATCAAGTAGTATTTAGCTATCAAGATCCACTGTGTTCTTTTAAAGGACTCACACCATCAATCTCCCTTTTAAAGAGGGAGTCTTGCCCTTGGTGTTCTTTTCTAACAGTGGAGTCTCAGAGCTTCACCAATAGCCAAGTGGGTAAATTAAAGTCCAGTTAACCACAAAGCTGTACAACCCAATCTATGTTGAGTTGGATTATCTCTGAGGGATACTACCAAACCGCTGTCCCTCTGAGATAATCCAGAGGCAGGGCGAAACGTTGGGCAAGTTGCTTTACTCCACACGTCTCTGTATACTAAGCAGTAAGTAGGAACACGGTTGTTAGTTGATTGGCGGATCGCTTTTCGGGGTTAATAATTCCTTCAAAAAAATAAAAATATAATAATAATTTGGTCACTTCAATCCATGACTGTCTGTGGGCAATTGGCTGCCACATTTGACTCACAAAATATACACTCAATTCACTTGACTGTATATTCTATGAAGCGTTTTGAGATGCGATAAGGTACTATATCAAATGCAAGGATTATTATTATTACTACAATTGGTATTAGTGCCATGGGCCAGGAAGGAGAAAAATCAACCAGGATTTCAAATAGAGATCACCATACAGTAATCCTGCTGGGTAGACACTTGGGAATCAAGAATACTAAGGGATGGTGAGGAAAGGTGAAGAAATGCGATTAAAAGATCTGCTATTCCTAATAAAAATGCAAAACAGGATTATTGGGCCTGAATGGGATGTTTCAATGTTGGTATCACCACCACTACAATATGGTATTCTACAGTTCCGGATGATCCAGAAACAGCCCCGTTTGGAAAGTAGGATCTATAGCTATGGTCCTGACAGCATTTAAATCTTGAGAAATGTCATCCTATCCCATTAGGATTTACGAGATTCCACTGTGTTGATCTTTTTTATGTCGGATCAATCTGATGTCAGCGCCACATTCGGTGTCAGTAATTTGGGACTTCCTCTTGGGTTTAGATTTTTGAGCAGCAGGAATGTGACCGAATCAACAACCAGAGGAACTCCATGTGGGTGCACTGCAACCAGCTCTCACTGCAGTGTGTGAAAGACGATGAGGTAAGTGGAGCAAACACAACTCATAGGAAAAGCAACTAATTCTAGGATTGGGAAAGAAATCTGAAATTTAAGACAGGAATTGCTAGAAACATACAATACACAGATCATTCAACATTTGAAAGAGAAAAGGCTAACTTTCGGGTGGTAACCTTTCGTCAAAACATAAATGGTAACTTAGCCCAGGTTTGATTGTAGCCGTCAGGGCAACAATTGGTCTCATAGTCCTGGGTTAGAGAGGAGGAATAAACCAGTTTCCCAGGAATGGTCATTTGTGCAAGGTTTTAGAGGACATCTGGCATCCACGGAACCGTAGTCCAGCAGGCACCTTGACATCCAGGAAAGAACACACAATTATTACCAATAAATTTAGGCTGATGGGATCTCTAGGATGTATGACACAAACTATATAAGCAGCTGAATCCTGAGTAAATGCATACAGGATATGTTACCCCCCAAAAATGCAATTAATTTTCCTGCTCATCTCATTGTTGTTTCTGGCATATTCCTGGCGTAGAATGGCTGCTATGTTTACCTATAATAACGTATTAAATACTAGCTATTGTAGATCATCAGCCTTTGTCAGTAATTTAGGTGATGTCTGCCTTATGATATTTTGCACTGAAGGGAAGGCTTTGACCCTCATCTCCCCCCCCTCCCCACCACTGTCCATCCATCCGTCTCGGTTTCAAAGAAAAAATTCCTTCTAATTATTCAGGCTTGTATTCCCTCCTCATCCAAATTTACCCCAAAATTCAAATGAATTAATTGGCTGCTCATTATAAGACATTGCTGATGCTAATTAACTGCAATATTTGCCTCTATAACAAAGTTCACTTTGTTTCAATAAATTTTGTTTCTGTAAGGAGCTTCGCGGCATTTCTTTTACGTAAAAGACACTGTATAAATATGTTGTTGCTGTACAGACAATTTTTTTCAATCTTCGGACAGCTATACGAGGAGACTCGGAAGGTGCTGGAGGTGTGTGACATTGATGCAGATATAGACTGCTTTATCCAGAAAAAAATGACTGGAACAACTGCCCCTGGTAACACTGTGCTCCTTTGTGTTTCCAATCTGCCCAAGCACATTACAACAAGTTATATAGCTGCCTTCACGCCGGACGGCAACTCGGAGTTCCATTAAGAGCATTCACATCCTGAAGAGGGACCACAAGTCTGTAAACTATACAAGCGGTTCAAATTGAGAGACTAAACCACATGTCTCTGAGGTGTACTGCAGCCTCAAAACCTTCCAATCTGATAACAGCAATGACCTCAGGATACTAACACTGTAGTTTTTCATAATGGTAACCTAACAATTGAAAACCAGCAAACTTCATGTTATGTGCACGTAATAGAAATTGTGTTGTGCAAAATCAATAGATCAGTCATGTTAGAGATCAATGTGTAACACACTGTATTCTGAGAGTTCACTGCAAGATTAGAATGAAGTACAGTACTTTGAATACTGGTCCAAATTTGAATTCTAGCAATATTCAAAGTACTACTTTGAATTTTCTGATCAGAAGGGGATCATATTTGTGAACTTGATTTGGATAGAACATTACCCAAATATTCATTCAGTATTTTATTGGAAATGTGCATGCATATACGTGTGCACTATTTTGCCAATTTAAGGCTTGATTGCATGTCTGGGATGAAAAGGATCAACAATCTTCAGGCTTCAGTTTACTGAGACAAAACAGATCACAAGTAATTCAGCGAGATCACCAGTTGAGATTACAATTGCCCTCACGTGGTTCAGAGAATGGAAAGTCAATCTTAATGCTGTTCAACGCCCCCTGCTGGACATTCCAAGTGTCTCGCTGCTGGATGAGGACACGATCAGTATTTGGTGCCTCTGTGAAGAATCACTTGGGCAAGCTATCATCTGAGACCCATGTAATCTGACAAAAAATACTTTGTTCAGTTGCCACTGGAGGTGGTTTGATTGGGGACAGTAGGTTTTTTATCGCGGGTGGGCGTGTTGATGTGCCTCGGTTATATTGTCTGAACTGGGGGCCGATGATGGGGCAATCATTATTGGTTACAAAATAAGTGGACCACAGAAGCACCATGATGAAAGCTAGGAGAGACGTTTAGGCAATTTTAGAAAAAAGCCTTCTGGGATCCTGCAGCAGCTAAGTGGGCTGGTAAAAGGTTTAAGAGAATTCAAGAGTGATATGGCATGAGGTTTGGGCCATCCAAGAACCATGTGCAGTAAAGCAATCCATATGTCTGTTCACAGCTCGCATAGAATACGAGAATTATTACAACAAGTTCCCTGGCATGGACAACAGCGCTGTGGCCACTTCCAGCAATGGAGGTGTCAAGAAAAGGTAAGGTCCAAGAGTGATGACTGTCGATTTATTTATAGACTTACCAAAGCCCGGTTTCCCAGAGTTTGCTGATGGGAATGGTGTGTGTTTCTCGGGCTGTGTCTTCACACTGGAGTCCGTAGAGTTGTGTGAAGTTGGATGCTGAGCAGGAACAGCTGCCATTCAGATGCACTCGTGCATGAAGAACAGTCACTTGGGCCCATATTGTAGCAGAAAGAAAATTTTAGACCAATCACATTACTAAAACATGTAACTAAAAGATAACTAATGTTAGCGATCAATACTTAGTGGACCTCAATGCCTGGTTGAGGGCTCCCTATTCTCTTCAAGTGATGGGAACCCTTGCTTCCTGTAGTAATTGTCATTAACTCCTATGTTCACGTTCTTGTATTCCAGGTTTTTTCCCTATTCATATTTACCTAACAGGTACAATCACTTTGCTGATGCCTTAATCTGCGTGCAACAGTACAGCAATCAGCATGCACCTAATGCAATCTTAACAACGCCCACTAACTCACCTATAAATGGTTCCTGCTTTGCTCTGGCTGGCTAACACTAACACCATCAGGACAACATTGCACAATGTTTTCACAGCCGTATTATATTGCTACCTTCTTCTTTAACCTGAAGCTTTCAGTGGGTACCCTGAAGTATTCAGGGACATGTTGAAAAGTGTGCAAAGGTAGAAAATATGGTGTGTATTTTTGCATGTTCTCACACCGGAGGCTCGAAATTCCATCAGTCTTAGCCTTAGTTTCAGGCAGAAGTTGAAAATTCTTGAATTTGGTCTAAATGTTGGAGCTGGTTCTTTTTTAAAAAAAATGCACAAAATCAGCTTTCTGAAATGTAGCATTGTATGATCTCACTTGTATGGCCTCACTCACTAAGGCTAGGTTGAATTTCATGCCTCAGAATGAGCACAGTTATTATTCCTACCCATTATACATGTCCCTCGAATTTCTGGTGTTTTACTACAAAGGGCTTCTGAATGAAGGTCTGGAATTCCAACCTTTATACAAATAACTCGATGATCAGGATTCCCACTCCTGAGCAGTATCTAACACCCCTTGACGGACAGTGTACTTAGCTGGATAAGGACAGGATCAGGCAAGGCTGTGAGGCTGCTAGCTGATCTATTGTCAAGGAGCCCATCAATACTCAATATTATGGCTGGTACATCAATTATGATCATCTGGGCAAGAAATGAGGTGCAGGTATAATGGACAGGAATAATGTTTCTTTCTGAGGTCTGAAGTTCCACCTAGCTTTGGCCTGTAAAGATTTGACAAAATTGCGTGTGATCTGAAATTTATGTGATGGAACCTTATCTATGACAACAACTTGCCCCTCACACGGGGTAGCATCCGGGAATGCTTAAGTAGTGCTACCATAGCACCCTTCAGAATCCAGGTTGTGCTTATGTAGTGCTACCATATCACCCCGTCAGAATCCAGGTAGAGAACGACCCAAGGGCTAGTTCATTGACAAGTCTCCATTACTCTACCCTCCAGATTTAGTAATCTACTGCCGGGCAACACTTCCAAACAGAGCGGAAGCAGGCCTACTGCGCCACCTCCAGGTAAGAACAATTGCTTCAAGGATTCCAGATACTTAAAGGTTAAACTCAAATCTCCCTTGGACAGTGCGTAAATCCACTTTTCACTATACCATACAAAAGAGTGTTTCTAAGCCTCCACTTCTGTGCTGAGCTAGCTCATGTCGTTCGGACGATATGGGGACAGGGTGTAATTTGCCCGAGTTCCAGAAGTTGTTCTTTTCTATGGGCTTTTATAATGCTACTTATTTGAAAGTTGACACAACTAGAATTGTTCTGGGTGAAGTAGGCCTAATTTTTTGAGCAGGCAGGCTAGTTCGTAGGGTTTGCCTGGTGCTAAGAGAGCATGAGGTTGGATGAATTCACCCTCAAATTTATTCACTACACCTTACAGTAGAATCTTGTGAAGCACTCCAAGATGTTTCATTAATGTGATAATTTGTTATATCAAATGGAAGGGTTATCATTAGTCTTTGGGTGTCCTTGATAGGCACATTTTGCTAGTTCCTTGCTGTGCCACTAGATGTTTTAGTATGTTGTACTGTAATACATTATCAAATGTGACTGTGGAAGCAGTTAATTACACCAGTTACAGGGAATTAGAAAATCACATGAAGATTAATTATTTAAAAGGATATTGGTCAAAGATTAGAGTAGATGGAAACAGTGGGGGGAAGCAAAATTAAGCCAAATGCCTCTTTCATTGCTGAAAACATTCTATGATTCTACTTCTTTCTCTTGCTCTCTGTTTTTTAGCTGAAGTGGTGTACGCAAGTATTAATCCTGTAGCACAGGAGAATCAGAACACCTACAGAGTGCTGTACGACTATGTAGCACAGGTAAGGAATGCCCAGCAAAGGTCATCTGCTGACTGGATTTGGTGTTTTTTTTAAAAAAATTAAATAGAAATTTACATTTATATCGTGCCTTTCACAAAAGGGCATTCCAAGCTGTTTAATAATAATGGCTTGGAACCCAAGCTGTGGGTGACAGCAGAAAGGGATGGGGAGGAGACAGATTAATAAAAGCATCGTCAAAGATATAGGTCTTGATACAGTCCTTGAACGAGGTGAGGAAGGGAGCGAGTCGGAGAGACTTCGGGATGGAGTTCCAAAGAATGGGAGCAGGCAGATAAGGCTAAAACCCACCCGCTGAGGAGATGGACAAGGATCGGTGTGTTAAGTTCGCAGAGCCTGGTACAGGAAAGGACACAGGCTGCAATTATATTACCTGAAGATGCTAAGCTATTCTGGTGTATGATACCAGATGTAACAATCTCACCCAAGTGGCCTTTCTCCATGTATGAACAAAATCAGTGAATATTGTGAGGATTTGAGCCAGTGTTCTTCTCAACCTAAATTTTTCTCCTGTAATGTCCCCACACACGTGCACTTTCTGGAAATGAGATTGAGACCAGAAGCAGAGACACTATCCAAATAATCTCTTCCTTCTGCTAAATATCCCTCTTACCCACACAATCACGTATCAACCAATGGAGAATGAAAGTTAAAATTATTTTATTAAATTATTCTTTCCTACTGACAGAATGTAGATGAGCTGGAAATAATGGCTGGAGACATTGTCCACATCACAGATGAGAATGAGGATGGCTGGTGGACAGCAGAGAGGAATGGACAGAGTGGACTAGTACCCAGCACCTATCTGGAGAAAGCTTAAGAACAAAACATACTGACACTCAGGCTTACTCTGGAGTTGCTGTTGTAGCATCTCCATTTGCACATTCCTGACTGGTAATGTTCCTCGAACTGGTGACTTTGAACTGTGTGGTGGTGGTGGTAATATACGTGGTTTGATAAGTCTATTTTTGTTAATTTTTTTTTACAAAAATGCTATTGTAAAGCTACTATGTTCATCTCCTCATATCTCCCGGAAGTATTGGCCTCTTTCCAGAAATACCTACATTCCATTCGCCTCTGGAACAAAATCATCTGGTCTGCTTCAAAGCTCTTCCCAAGATCATTCCTTTGTATAAAAAATATTCCTTCCTAACTTCCTGATGTTTCACATTAATCTGGACTTTCAAAGCTTTGCTATGAATGAACAATTTGACTACATTGGCTCTGCCAATTCCCATTCATAATGTTTAAAACTTCAATGAAGTCAATTCAAAGCATCTTTACAAAAGAGGCGTTTCTCTCTGCCCCTTCACTGTACAGTAGTGAGCTCTTTGTAAAGAAATCATTCAGCTGGGAAATGTTTAGTGGAAACTTCAGCCAAGTGACCATTTATTTGTGTTCAAGCCTTGACAATGTTAGCATGCTATTTAAATTGCTTTGTATAGCTGTTTCACAACAGCAGTGTCTGTACCCATAGTGCTCTTTTGAGGAATGGGCTGTGGTACCTTTAACAAGACAGCTGTATAGCACCTCCTCAGGCAAATCCTGCAGCCTCCAAATCACAGTTTACAGAGCCAGGTAGTGTTGTAAATGGTTTCCAAGATTGCTCTCAGCTCAAGTGTGTGCAGATGAAAACCACTGCAGGTGAAAACAGTCACTTGAGACAAAAATTTAATAAAACTTCTATTCATTTCTGCTGCAATCCTCATTTATACATTTCTTCCATGGTGCTAACAGGAGGTTATTTGATTTTCAAACTAAATACATTTTGTGAATATAAGATAAAATTAGGTTACCTTCGTGAATCACTTAATTTGTGAATTTAATGCTTTTGTTTTCTCCCCACTGATTTAAAAAGTTGGCTGTGGATCAAATGCATTTGTAACAGCACATACTACCATGACATACTATCTGCTGGAGCTTGCTGTACCACGCCACGTTGCAGCAAACCTCTTCAAAATAAGTTCAAAAAATTACATTATTAAAAATAGCCCATAGTACTCAAAGGTCTTTTTTACAGAACTCTAGAATTTTAAGCAGTTTTGAGCAACTCAATATTTACATTTTTCTCTTGTATAGATTTGATAAGTTCTAAAAATTTCAGCTGTTGTATATAGGTACAGTTTAACCAAGGGTCTTAGAATCTTCTGTTTATATATTTCTACTACTTTAATGTATTACTGTACTTCTAAATGATATTACTAATCTATAGCCAAGTCAATAACAAACTTTTTTTTAAAAAACGAACTAACCTTGTTTAAATCAAGATTCCAAGTAAATGTGCTTTTTAAACCAGTTTCAATTATTTTTATGATTTTAACTTAGTGATCAATCTTTACAATCACTTATATGGAAAATATCAGCCAGTGACAGTGGGCAAGCTCATTAGTCCTTCACTTCTGATGCCAGGGTTCAAATCTAGTCCTAACTGATGAGGGAATCCTGATTGCAGAGAACGTAGTTAGGGACAATGTTCTGAGCAGGTGAAAGCTGGACTGTAGGAACTCAAACAGAGTGAAGGGAAAATTTGGGAGCAGAGTGTACAAGTGGCTGCATCAGGAACCAAATAGCTCCAATTGTTTTCCTCCTGCCCCCATTTTAAACAAAAAATGACTAAAACTACTGCTTAAATTATTTGTGATGTGTGCCATCAGCCCTGAGCAATTTCAGGGCAAGTAAAATGAAATGTGCAAACATCAAAAATGTAAACCTTAGACTGACCAATATACATATAAATATATCAATCTTCCTCGATATGAAAGGCGCTATAAATAAATATAAATTTGTATTATAAAATCTTATCCAACTGAGCAAGATTAGTATATTTATAAGTTGGTGATGCCTAAGCCACTGGAGTAAGCACAGAATTTTGTGGGGGGAGGGAAGAAGAATCTAAAAAAATATACATTTAAAAGGAACCTATTTCCCCACTGATAGCTGTTTATAATGGCACTGGATGGTGTACTAAAGAGGGCACTCCAAACTCAGAGCAAATATTTCAATAAATTCAACATTATAATTTTTTTGGAAAAAAGGGCATTTCTGTTAGTCAGTAAAAACTAACCAAGCATGCGAACATTGTTAATCCATTGTGAGCAGTTAATAATGAGAATTGCTATGGTGAACTCTTCTGGAGACACAACGCTTTGTCCAATATGAATTTTCATGACCATCAACACAAAACCTTGTTCCACAGGCCTGCCCTTGAGAATCTCACGAACATTAACCTCTCGGGGTTATAGGAGGACAATGATCCTTTTCTCCAAGGTCAACTAATTAGAATAATTACCATAGAGTTCCCACTGTTCAGACCTTCCTACGAGTGCTGAAAGTCTGCCACTGGCCTATGCAGTAACCTCCTTCCTTTCCTTCTCTGTACAGGATATCTGACAGGAGACTCCTTTGCCAGTCTTTTGAATAGGCAAGAGTACATTAAACCTTCCATCCTCAGCAAAGGAATGAGTATCCCCATCCTGGTATCAATTATTTTGAAACTGTGCCAAATTCCTAAAACAATCTAATTTGAATTTGACAAAAATAGCACCCGTTTACTTCCTTGTTCAGGATTCTTTTAAACAAAAAGTAAGTTCCACAGACATCAGTCACCCCACATTTCTCATTTCATTTTTAATGTCGATCATAAGAAAATGAATGTAAACATGGAAATCTACAATACAAAAGGCCCCCATTCAGCCTATCAAACCTGCCCTGGCTCAGAACAAGGAGATTGCTTCAATGCCCACCTTATCCCTATACCCCTTCAAGCCACTCTCTCACATGCCTGTCCAGTTCCCTCTTGAAAGCGACAATGCAGATCACAATAAAATTACATTTATAGAGCGCCTTTTACTTCGTGAGGACGTCCCAAAGCGCTGAACAGTCAGGTGTCGGGGCCCGAGCATGGGGGAGGGGTGGTGTAGGAGTGAGGTAAGGCAGAGAGATGGGAGGGCGACCAAAAGCACGAACGAAGAGAAGCGTCTTGAGACCGGCCTTGAAGGAGGCATGGGAGGAAGAGACCGTGGGATGGAGTTCCAAGATGTGGGGGCAGAGAGACTAAAAGCCTGGCCACTGATGGTAGGGTGGGAGACATGGAGCAATCCACCTCCCTGCCCAACAGGGTGTTCCGCATTCCAGCTATTCACTGAGTGAAAAAAAATTCCTTCTAAGATCTCCTTTCAATATTTTTGTTGCTATCCTTTAAGTGACTATGTCTTCTTGTTACTGACTGCCCTATCAATTGAAATAACATCCCAATTTACTCTAACTTTTTTGCACGCCAAAGAATGTGTCCATCTTGAGTTGTGATGGTAGAGTATAGAAGCATTATTCAGTCAATGGCAATGATATTGGCCAGATCAAATGGCAATTTAGTCATAACTTGCAAATGGCAGCATCTGAAAATGGGGTGGACATTTACAAAGTCAGGATAAGCACAAGCATTTATTCCTGCTTCATTCAATTTCTGTGTATCGCAAGCTTACAAAACTAAGTGTGAGCTTCAGTTTCAATCATTTATTTATATTTGTTAAATCAGTTCAGTTTCACACACTTATCCTTCTGTTACAATGCTCCATTATTCCAAGAAACAAATTAAAAGGTATTAGAATTTACGCACTACACAGACAGTAACAGAAAAACTATACAATGTAAAATATCTAAATACAGAAAATAGTGCACACAATACAAATAAAACGTTTATAGATTCAGGACAGTACAATTCATGTTTAAATCTTGGAAGATCAGGCTACCACCAATTAGATTACCTTGATTACTAAAGTATTAGTTGTCAGTTTGTACAATTTATCTACTAGTTATAAAGGGCCTCAGTTTCGCCCATTGTATGTGTAGTTAAACACAGCTATTCCAGCAGTTCTGAATTGTGTAAAGGTGTGCTTTAGCTTATTTATGTTACAAAAGGAGCTACTTCAAGTGTCTGACCCCAATGGGGCCTCTGAGCTCTCCAGTAGTGACAATATTGATAAATCAACTTCAAGAAAAAGAGGGCAAACCCAGGAAGCAATTATGCATAGGTTCCTCCAGTGATGAGGGGCTCATAGGCAGGATCCCCACTCCTCCTGCAAAGTACAACCAAGGCGCACAACATGCCCAGCAACTAGAAAGAAAAGACAAAATATTACTATGGTAAGCTTGTGGTAATTAATGCTGGGTCTGGTTATGCTGCCTGCTGGACAAAAGAGCGATGATACTCCAGAGTAGTGTTTTACTTCCATTTACAAGCACTCAATGACAATTTATGCATATTTTGTGATGACACCATATATTCTGTGAAACATATGGTAATCATGTCTGTCAGATACCAGAATAATAGTGGCAGAGGCTACGATATACTTGTATAGCTGACAATTTTGTTCTTTTGTTACTTGGTGTTTAGACAGAAGACATTCAAGAATTGCCTACGATTCTCCTAGAAACATGCAACTCAACTTAAGATTCTAGTCATTCAGTTTACAATAAAGTTACAGTATTTGAATCAAGGAAGACTAGAGGTACAAGCATCAATTTTATCCATCTAAGCCAATATAATTCTGTTTCTATCTGCTCCACAAGATACAATGCACTGTTTAGACATGACACAATGGGGTCAGTGTACATGCTCAAAGGCTTGCTATATAAAAATCTCTACATTTGGCATTACTGCTGCTCTACTTACCATGTATGAAGTTAAATATAGCATTTTGCTGCTTTAACGATTTAGCTTGCTTACAGGGAAGAAATGTTTTGGTCTTCAATAATATCAAGTGACAACAATTGGGGTTTAGTGGTAGCACACAAAGTCTGAATGGCAAAGAACAAAATGTGGTCCTATTGCTATTAAGTGGAAAAATATGCAGACCAAACAAAGCTCTTACGATAATTTTTTGGGTTTCTTCTCTGCCCTCCTGAAATCATGCTGCACTATGACAAGGTCAGTATGACCCAATGCGTCATTGACATTCAGCCCCGAGGAGGAATCAAACTCGTTAGTTACTTGCTGCATGAAATATAGATCCACTATGTGGAAATAAACACGCTTCATGTAAGGCTATAGCAACTGGAGGTTTTCCCATGTAAATACAAGGCACCGATGACCAAAGATTATTTATTAACCACACATTCCAGGACAAACCACCTCTTACACTCCCTCCATGTAGAACTTTCTGCCATCTCTTCCTTTATGTTAATGAGCATTATACAAATGGGGACTGGACAAAGGTGGAACAAAAGAACTTGTGTGCACAAAGCAATTGGATATCAAGTGTTGTCATGGAAGCCTGACAAAATGCATGCTGCATGTCTCCTCAGGTTAGGAATAAAGGGTGGAGGGCGAGGAAGAAGAGAAAATAAAGGTATATAAATGGGTAAAAAAAAATCATGCAAGTGTCCTGGAAGACTATGGGACACTCCCATCTATACTTTCATAATGAACAATAATGACCTCTCAAATATTAAATAATAATCCTTGCATTTGATATAGCGCTTTTCACGTCTTCTAGACGTCCCAAAGCGCTTCACAGATTATACTGTAAAGTGAATTGACTGTATATTTGTGGGCAAACGCGGCAGCCAATTGCGCACAGCAATGCCCCACAAACAGTCATGGATTGAAAATGACCAATTTATTATTGTTTTGTTTTTTTGGAGGGATTATTATTAGGCATGTGGAGTAAGGAAACTTGCCCAAGGTTTCGCCCTGACCTGCCTGGAATTGAACTCAGGTCTCTCACTTGGAAAGTGAGTGCTCTAACCACTGAGCTACAGGACTCCACAAATATATAATTGAGTGCATAGAGTTAATCAGACTAATCCTATAGCTAGATAGTCTGCGGTCTGATGACAAGCAATTTCAATGCTTAACAGCCTGAGATTGAAAATACAGAACTCAGTTTTTAACAAAACATTTGTAGATCAGGTTTAAGAACAGCCAGCCATTAACCTTGATCATGAGATAGAAGTTAATTTGTACATTCTGCATTTGGACTAGATTTTAAGATTTTTCTGAAAATAATGCAGTTGATGTTCAGGACAGTTTTGCAGTTCATAATATTTCATCACAAAATCAGAAGCCTATTAGTCTATTAGTGAGAATAAAAGATGGATACCAACTAATGGATTCAGAGTTTCATTGCATTCTTGCAATCCAAAAAAAGGGGGTGATAAATCCACATCACGATGCAATATTTGCAGGCAAGAATTATTTGCCGCAGCAGTCTACACATTAAAAAGGTCCTTCACTTTCAGTTAAATAACTTGTAACAATCATATCTAAATACATTAGTCCAAGATCACATTGACATATCCAAGATGTTGCTAATATGAACTCACTAATGGATTACATGAAAACAGCAGATTCTTGAGTCATTAACTTGTCTGTGCAAGACAGCCCAGGGTTGAATCTTTCTAGATGTGTACAATAGACCATTTGTGACATCCAATTAAATATCTAGCACTTAGCAACTTCTGACACACCGCTTAGCATGAAACATTTATCATCACATAATACACTATAGCTTACATCCAATATGTGATGAATAATGGGTACTATATAGTTATTAGGGTGTAAGCAAAATTCACAGAAAATGTATGATCAAGTCCTCAGAAAAAGGAAAGTAACCAAAATGGAATTAATATTAACTGAAAGCACACAATATACACAAATTACTATTTATAAATAAGCTAAAAATATAATTGTGCTGTGGAGGTCTCGAACAATAATATTAACAATGCTCGTGGTGCTGCAGGGACACTCATAGGAGTGCTAATTGATAGCCTAGTTGATAAATAAATGAATGGATTGTTTCCCCTACAGTACTTAGCGCTTTCCAGGACCTGGTATCTTGTGTTACAGATTACAAATGGATTATAAAACAGGCACACACTTACCTGAATAGCAGCAAATGCCAATGCTGCCGTAATAACATACATCATAATTTCCTGAAGTTTCTTTACTACCAGAACCTTGCATCCCTGCGTTGGGTAGGAGACGAGAGTAAAGAAATTAAAATGATACACACACACAGATCAGTTTGTGATTTCAGCACATCTAAGAATCATTGTTAAATGGTCTCATTCTACCTATTCAACCTATTACAGGGCTCTGAAGCCAAGCTATGACGAACAGGAAACCTCTGTAGCACTGGAGCTTTTCCAAACAATAGAACGCATTGATCTGAGGTGTGTGGGGGGGAGAGTATAAACAGAATCTGTTGCAAAGTGCTTATATGTGGATATTGAAATAAGGAATCGGCTTTGAAGGTCTTTGTGATAAACTGATCTCCATACTCAAGACTCAAAGTTCACATGAATAACAGCCACTTGAGCACATTGCCAATCAGCTGCCCAACAGCGGAAGAAAACATTTGGATCAATTTTCAAGCAGCAGAGAGAATTTTGTTTAAAATAAATTTAAGATCGCAGCTGAAAATATTAAAACACATTTTACATTTTAACATGTAAAACAGAACAGCAGTTGCAACACACTGGACTCAAGCCCAAACTGCAAAAAGCTGAATATTTCAAAAATATCATTGAAACTATCCTTTTTGTTTGATTAAGGCTACCTCTTCCACAAAGTAGATATTTAAAGTTGCTAAAAAAAGTCTCTGAATACAGTAGTCCCATGAGACAATGGTATATGGAGATTGTGGGGTCATAAAATCTCAACCAACATTATAATAGGGTGTGATCATATTCACTGTAGTGCACACAAAGCCATGTCAGCCAGATACCCATGCTGACTTCTGAATCAATTAGATTGATCACCAATACTTCCTATGCACTGCAAATTCAAAATAAAGTGATGTCAGCAGCAACCTGACAACACAGAAATTGGTACATTTCTAAGCACGCAAGAAGTCGGCTGCAGCTTTGAAGTGAACTGGCCGCTTTCTGCATTCATTTTTGATTATTTGCTAAGCAAGTGCCACAGTCCACACCCCAATCATGTTCCAAGTGAACCCAAGTCATAACAGAGTGTGTTATAACAGAACAGGTTGCTGTTCATACCTGCTTCTTCAATACCAGAATAATTTTTTAATAGTTGGCAGAATAATTTTTTGGAAGCGCTCACCTCTGCATATAGATCTAAAGGGTGGCTCATGGTGCCTGTGCAATTGCTGAGATTTGCTTTGCAGCAACTTATCGGGACACTGTTGTTCTTAGCTTGTTTGAACCATTGCGTATTTTCCCAATCGGAATAATTATTGATCCCACAGCAACGCAACTGCAAGAGAGAAAAAAAAAACATCATGTGGTCTCATGTTCATTCAACATTTATTAAAAAATGACAAAATGAAGAACAAAGATTTGTAAAGAGATCTGTCAATTTCTCAGGTGAAGAAACTGTAAAAAGTAATACCCTTCATGCGTTTATAAATGCCTTATCAAACCAAAATATCTCAAAAGTGCTTCAAATAGTGAATTATTTCAAAGTTGAGTGATTAGTCATATAAGCAAATGTTGTCATTAATCTGTGTCAGCAATATTCTATACCCAGTATCTGATTAATGGCCAATTAATTGTGGAGGGAGGGGAATAGAAGAAGGAGAGATTTGATGAATTTGGAGAGATGAGAGTGAGATATTAGTGGGATCCAGAAAAAACATTCACCAGATCAGTGCTGTGGAATCTCAACAGCTCTCAGAGCAAGAACAAGACAATCATTAGCCCCACGTAGCCCTGTTCCTCTTCTATTTAATGTGCAATTACATAACCTTCTCCAGAGTTGCAAAACCAGTTTTATGCTGCATTAAAACCAGTTCAAGTTCAACAGAACATTGTATTTGCCCAGAAATGCAATTGCCTAAATTATCTTCGACTTTAGATTATTCTCTTTAAGGAACCCAACAGGAATAAACCCAAACACAGCTTCTAGTGGCATAATATTTAAAATACCACAATACCAAATTCTAAATATCCACTTTCAGTATTCCCAACTCAGATACAGAAACCTGAATAAAAAGTGTCTCAATTATCTAAAAAACTTGAAACTGAATCTGAAAAATGTGGATTGTGATCAAACATTAACCACTAAGTGCAGTATAAAATCATTGGAACAGAACAATTAGAGGCTTCACTCACTGAAGATTTCAAACCCATACACCAAACAACGGTCAGGTTCCCTCACATCACCGTAAAGAACTGAATGGGCACTAAGAGTGTAAAGTGAGAATCCCACCAACAAATGGCATAGATTCCCAACAGAAGCTTAATGGCCACAAAAATATCAAAGGGTAGAATTTGCACCATTACCAATGAAGCAATTTACTGAAGGACTTGCTGTGAAACAGGCTTAGACCATCCTGTCTGCAGTTCATTCTCACCTGTCTCTGTATATAATCAATTGCACGGCTGGCTGCATCCGGGTACGTTCCATTGTATTCATTGTAGACTTTCTGAATACTGTTATCAACCTCATCCTCCACCTGTACAAAACAATATAGTAAGCAATGAGATTCCTTTGTATTGCGTATCCTCCCCAAAAAAGAACACAAGGGCTATATTGTGCCTTTTTCTTGGTACGTGAGTTTCTCCCCATGGCACAGATTTTCTCTTCTGAAAACAGCTGATCTTCTGCTGGGGTTACAGTTCACTTGGACCAGAAGGAACAGATTTTAGGTGGAGAAATTAATGAGCGAGAATAAGCACCATCTCTAGTAAAGGAATTTTTTAATATATGAATTGTACAATATGTAGAGATTTTAATTTTACCTTCGCTCTGAAGATGTAGCCAAGCACCACAACCACTACTTCCGTGATGAAAACTAACAGCAGGATCAGCACAAACTAGTGGAAGGGGTGGGGGGTAAAACAAAAGTGGATTATAAACATTAACAAGTCAACTAACCAAATAGCCACTTGATAACAAATTTTTAAACATTTAAATTTACTTTTCTTACTCTGGAATCTCTCAGTTGGCCAAAGTTTATCAATACCATTTATATAAAACTATTATTGCATTTCAACTGTTTTAGGATATTCCTCATCAGCTGAAGCATCAGACTCTCCTTCAACAGCAACAACAAAATTACATTTATAGAGCGCCTTTCACGTCGGGAGGACGTCCCAAGGTGCTGGACAGTCAGCGGTCAGGACCTGAGCATGGGGGAGAGGTGGGGTAGGGGTGAGGGAAGGCAGAGGGGGAGGGTGACTTCAGACAATTGAAATGCATAATTGATTTAACATCTCCCAGTACCAATATTTTGACTGTTTAGTGTCCTCACTACATTAACTTTAAATACTAAAGTGTCAAAATGTTTAGAAGGGGCTACATATAGTCACAAGATTATGATTTTGCTTCATGAGCATATGAATTACCCCAGTCCTTGCCAGACTGCACTGGCTGCCTGTCCAATAGAGAATCAACATCAAGATCCTCACTCTTGTCTTCAAATCCCTCCATTCCTCTGCACCCCTCTACCTCTCTGATCTCTCTCCTCACAACAGTACCCGTTGCCTTCGCTCCACCAGATCTGGCCTCCTCTTTGTCCCCTGATTCCTCCGCTCCACCATCGGCGGCCGTGCCTTCAGCCACTCTGCCCCAAGCTCTGGAACTCCCTTCCTCACTCCCTTCGCCTCGCCCCCCACTCTTCCTAATTTCAGGTCTCGGCTGAAGACCTTTCTTTTCGACTGTGCCTTTGGTCACCTTCTTCCACCACCCCCGACTCGGCCCCAGGATCCGTCACTGTGAAGCGCTTTGAGACGCCATCCAGTGTGGAGGGCACTATGTAAATCCAAGTTGTTGTTGTTCGAATACAAAAGTAGTACATCACATGCACAATTTTCAGCTTTAAGCCAGGTGTGTCAGTTTTCCCTCAACCAACTGACCTCTATTTTCCAGAGAAAAAATAATTTTCTTCCTTCTTTGTGCAAAATGTAAAACAACTACATTTTAAGTATTTAATTCCTGCATGTCTGATCCAAGCATAAGAACACAGAGAACAATAATGACACATAACAATTGAACCAAAAGGGAAAATAACCCACTACGTATAAATATATAATGATCTTAATGACATGAACCATCTACAGCTCAACAATTTAAAGGATTAGCATGCCTTACAATAACATACTCGTGGAGTCCTGTAGCTCAGTGGTTAGAGCACTCGCTTTGCAAGTGAGAGACCTGAGTTCAATTCCAGGCAGAGGGCGAAACCTTGGGCAAGTTTCCTTACTCCACACAGAGCCTAATAATAATCCCTCCAAAAAACCAAAAACAATAATAAATTGGTCATTTTCAATCTACAACTGTTTGTGGGACATTGCTGTGCGCAATTGGCTGCCGCGTTCGCCCACAAATATACAGTCAATTCACTTTACAGTGTGTTCTGTGAAGTGCTTTGGGACGTCCTCCCGACGTGAAAAGCGCTATATCAAATGCAAGGATTATTATTATACGTTTTCAGCTATTCAGATATTGTGCTCTGTTTCTAACTTACAATCGCCAGACCACAGCGGCTTTCCCGGATGGTGGCACAGCAACCAATTAAGCCGATGATAAATAAGAGTGTTCCAACACCAATGATGACGACTGCTGGAATCAGTGTGTACACATCTTCAAAGAAGTGGTCATAGTCATCATACGTGATGAAGACATAAGCTCCCACGTAACACAGGATCCCTGCCGCCGCCTGTGTGTAAACAAAAATACAACATTTAGTTACCTGCGACACTCCAGTCCACAAGTCTGAAGTTTCAAAACAAAATAATGTTACCAAATGGTAATATGTTTCATGGTTTAGATTATTTCAAGGGGGGAGAGGTGGGAAGGGCTGTACAAGTGTGTTATCCAACTTAATTTACAAACAATTCTTTATTTAAATAAACCATCTCCAACACAAAATTTGCAAGACAAATACATTCAAATGATGAGAATAAATAGATCCACTAAAATGATTGCAAAGTAAAGAATATACCCTTCAAAGCTCCCAGAGGAAAAGGTACCATTAGGACTTGATCTGTAATAGAACATCAGCAGGAGCACCAAACCACCCTCAAAGTTTCAATTCTGCATTGATTTGCCTTAGATCTAAATTAAATGCAATATGAAACACAAAACATGTGTTCTATTCCTCCCAATGCAATCAATTTCAACACAAGAAGTACTACAATCACAGATAACTATCTCAGACCAATGAAGGTTACAAAAGTAGTTTCCACCATCCACAGAAGAACCATTGAACATCTCCCTACTCCACAAGAGATTTACACACTAAACATAATAGCCAAAAACGTGTTCATCAATAGGGCAAAGAGTAAATCTGCTGAAAATTCACAATTAGCCAAATGAGCAGTACACAGAACAAAGTCTCGAACCGTATGTCTTAGTGCTGTACATCAGGGAGCAAACTGTGACCACATTTTTAACTCTAGCAATTTAGACATCTCTAGGCATTGTTGCAAGTTGCCTTGTTCTTTGTGAAATGCTTTACAAAGAGGCTGTTAAGAATTACATTGTAACCCATAGAAATGACCACATCAAAGAAAACAAAGACTATTGGTTCAGGAGTATGAACTGAATAGAAGTAGTCACTGGCAAAGATGCCCTAAAGTTCAGTGCTGGGCCTCTTGTTTACAGTGAATTGAAAGTGGGTACCGAACCAGAAAATCAACTACAGCTGTGTGCACCAAATTGGAGCATTTACTTTCCCTTGCTTGCCCACCCACCCCCCACCAAACCGCCATCCTCTCGAGGATCTACTAGATCCCAATTCTCCAGTGGATCAATTTTAAGATTCTTGTTCAAACTTTCAAATTCCTCCTCACCCATAACTCATTCTAAAATGCAAACTCCTCCAGTCTCGCACTCTATCCACTGCTCTGTTCCAGTATTGGCAACGGAGCTTTCAACCACTATGTCCCTGCACTCTGGCTTTTCCAAATTCTCTTCAGCTCACCTGTCTCTCTCTCTCACACCTTCAAACCCTTTTTTTTCAAAAAAAATTCTATCTCTTTGACTGCAATTATCCCCAGCTAAGAACTTAGATTTAAATCTTCTTTGAATAGAACTGTCTTAGACATAACATTTCCTCAAATAGTCAATTTATTTTTGACTATTATCGTCATACCAACTGGTTGAATTGGAATGGTGGAACACATACTGAATTCTCCTCAGTCAGTTGGGGGCATTAAATAAAAATTGAAGTTTTGCAGCTTAATTCACTCAATAGTGTAGAACAGAATTTACTAGCAAAACTTAAGAAACTTTGTAATTCAAAGTCTTATGTGGACATTGCAAGAATGGCTGCTGCTAGTCCATGCACAAGAAAGATTTTAAACAAAATCTCTCCCAAAGCTTGCAATACTCTGACTTTCAGTCAAGCTTCTGTACATTAAACATCCACATTTGCTTTCGGGGTGAAGAGTGCCTGGAGCAGCTGTGAAAATGGTGCATGTGTCATTGTGAAGACAAAATGTACAAGATTTATCTTTCTACAGTGTATATTGAAATTAATGACTGTTTTCCCCTCTAAAAGGCAAGACATCAATCTTACAAAAATCAGAGTTGCATGGGGGAAGGAAGTGTATTATGTGATCTTTACTTTTGAGATCATATCCAATCTTTCCAGATTCAATCTGGATTGGTTCACAATAATGGCTCCTAGTAGCTTTCAACAAAGAGCCTCTAAATAAAGTACAACTGTGCAGCATTCAAACTGCAGAATATGAAGATTTCTAGAACATTCAATAACTTCAAAGTGCTGCACTTTTTAAGCAGCTAATGCCCTGGTCTTCATAAGAGATAAACAAAGCTATGGCTACAAAACTAACTCTGCATCCAATTCTTTCAGCATTTGCTGTTAAATACAGGAGGGTGACCAAAGGTACGGTGGAAGAGGAGGGTCTTAAGACATGCCTTGAAGAAGGGACTGTGGAATGGAGTTACAAAGGCTGGGGGCAGAGAACCTGAAAGCAGGCTGGGTGGGGGACAAGGAGCAGGCCAATGCCTGCTGAGCGGAGGATTCGGACAGGTCGATATGGTGTACTATTGCCCAAACTATAATATTGTTACCTAATTTATAATTTGAGAATGCACAAGAAAAATCTAAAAAGAGTAATGCTATAAACTTAAAACATTCAGGATAACGATAATCAATCTAGAAAATGAAGTAGTTCATAAATAATGTAGTTTGAAATCTAACCTCCTAGGATCTGACCGGTCAATGCTATATTCGATCCAAAAGCAAGTATTGAATACCAGTCGTGGACTATAGAATTGCAGTCAATGCATCAAACTTGCCATTTCAATTACTGCATTTAAAATGCAGACACAATAGTAATGTGACTCCAGTTCACTTCCATCCTCTCCTTCCCTCTCCCTCCCTCCTTCCCTCCCTCCACTACCATCCTGTGGTAGGAATGTCTTAAGTTTCCATAAGAAAACACACATTCTGTAAAAGCTAATAATAACTCTTGATTCTGATAGAGCGTCTTATCACATTATCAAGGATGTCTCAAGGCATTTCACAGGATTGGGTTTTTTTTGGTGGGGGGTCGGGGGGGAGAAGAGAGGGCTTTTAAACCAGAATAAACAGAACAAAATCGTCCCTACACGCGAGATTAAAACGAGCTCTAAATACAAAACCATATAGATCTTTATTCCTGTCAGCGAGTGGCAGTCGTTTCGACTGAACACAAAAGAGGCCCCGCACAAGGTCAGTCAAAACTCGCGGAGATCTAAACAAAAGAGGTTCTTACAACATACAACTGTGTGTGTGTGTACAAAAAAAGAGAGAGACAGACAGACTGCTGCTGCACAATAATGTATACGACTTTCTCGGGGCCCGAATGCTCTTCAGTTGCTGCGCCGCCTCACTCACAAGCGGTCGGTCACAGCGGCAACGACATCTCACAACCTTGTGCTGCGGCAACCAAACCTGCGCTGCCCCTCCCGCCCCTTCCCTCCGCTGATTGGTCGCAGCCCGGCCGGCGGCCAATCGGGAGGGCAAGAGCCCCCGTCAATCAGCCGCCGGTCCTTTCCGGTTTACACGTTTGGTTGCGCTCGGCGGGGTGGGGGGGGGGGGGGCGCCATGGCGACGGCGGGGCAACTGGCGACCCACTTACCCAGAATATCAGGTTCAGAAAGACCAAGACGGTTTTAGAGGACGTTATTCCGCACTGCCCCATCGTTCAAATGCGATTGATTTCGAGTGGAGGTTTCGGCCGTTTCGCCCCCCCACCCGCCCCCGGTCCGGTCCTCCGACTCCTCCAGCGGCGCCGCCCTCCCGCAGCCTTCACCACCTCTGTCCGCCGGTGACGGATGAGCGCTGAGAGTCTGCGCGCGCATCCCCTCCCCGTCAGCGGGCGCGGACCCACGTGATCGACCTCGAGCGCCTGCGTGAGCACGTGATCTCTCCAGCGCTGGCTCGCTCGCTCGCTCGAGTGACCCATCCGCACAGCCCACCAGGGGGGGCAAGAGACACGGGCAGCGGCAACACACCGAGGGGTGGGGGGGGGGGGGCATTGGGAAGAAATATTTGTAAAAAAAAATAATCATAATAATATAAAATAATTAAAATAATAATTATTTTTTTAAAAAAATTTTTCGCAGGGTCTCCGCGGTCCTTTTTTTTTCATCGCGTGAACTCAGCCATAGCGTTTCACACAGGCGAACGTCAACTTTTAAGTGTGAATAAGTTAATCCTTGGATCTGGATGCAGCACCTGTTAACCCGTCTGTCGAAATGCTCCCCAGCGCTTCACGCAATTTACTGTAAAGTGGAGCGAGTCCAATTTTTTGCACGTAGCGGTGTCCCACAAACAACCACGAAGTGATTGACCAATTTTGCTCAAGCGTCAAACTTTTGTCATAATGGACCTTCCTAAGCTAAGAAAAAAAACAATCGCACTTCCCCCGTATAGCTTACTAAGACAGCACAAAGAACTGAAAGTCCAATGCTTTGCAAGAATACCAGTAATAAAGTAGAAGGGCTTTGATCAATATAGTTATAAGAGTATGAGGGTCAAAATACCAAGTTTATTTAATAAAAGTACTATTGTGGTTCTGTTCAAAAAAAAAAGTACAAATGGAAGCTGTTAAAATGAACCTGCACAAACATTTTAGGAAATCGTAACACAAACAATTATAGATTATGTCAGTATGATATCCATCAATCCTACTTTATCAGTGGAAGGCGTGAGCTCGTTTCCGATTCCTGTACAAAGTAGCAGAATTCAGGGTTGCGGTGTAGAAAGGTAGAGACGTGAGTTATTTTCCATTGAAAGACAGGAGCAATACTTAGTTTTGATTGCAGCTGATGCTGAAAAGCTTGACTCACATAGGACAAAAAAGAATGAGGAGCCTGGTGGATTAACTCAGGAAACCTGATAACCCAAAACTGGGTAAATCTAAGTAAAAGGTCTCTGGAGTGTCTACCTGGCACTGATAAGACATTAAACTAAGACCCCCATCTGCCCATTCTTCTGATGGATATTACAGTTCCCACAACCCTAGTTCAAAAAGAGGGGGTAGTTTCTCCCAATCTCTTCGTCAACACATCTCCTTCACTCCATGGTTCTTTGTGGGCCTTGCTATGTGCAAAATGCCTGTTGCATTTGTCTTCAAAGCTGTCACTATTTCTCGACAATAATTACTGCAAAGCAATTTGAAATGTTTTAAAATGATAGGGTAAATTCTTTCTTAGTTTGTGGCCATGTCAAGCAAGCTGAAGGTAAATCCTTTTGAACCTCGACCAGAATATGTCACTCAGAATCATTAAATGAGGGTGTATATGAGAGGCACAGGATGATGTCACATCTGACTCCACTCAATGAAAAAATACACAATAACTACATTCATTCATCATTTTCCTGGAAAGTTTGTCGCCTAAAGTCATCCTGTCTGATTTCAGCTACAGTTACCATAAAAGGCAAAATGTTGTTTCTACAGCTCATGTGGCAGAGCATTACTGGGAGAATGCCCAATTGTTGCAAACCTACAAAGATCAAAGCAATGGCTGGAGATCTTCTTTCGTGACAGATTTTTCCTTCCTGTAAAAGCCTCAGCTGTTTGACTAACACACTCCCCCTCTGGTGCTGCTGCCAAACCTAACACTGCAATTTTGTTTCAAGTCAGCCATCTGCTTCATTTTCTTTTTATCTTCATCCAGGGGAGGAATATCAGGATAGAGATCTAAAGTGTTTTCCCAAAGATTTACACCCTTACCAACATCAGACTGATCCAGGTAATAACGAGTGTTGAAGTTTATTCCGATGGCCTGGTCAGTAAAGGCACGACCCGATAATGACCCAGTCAATTGCCACACTAGTCAATAATGTCCCAGTTTTGATTCTTGTTCTCTCACCAGATTCTCTGATTTCAGTTAGGGAAGCAGGCCTTCAGCAGGTTGGGGAGGAGAGAAATCCACCAGAGATCCCAAAGGTCACCAGCTGGATAAAGGCTTGCAAGTAGTTTTTTTGTCTACTTAGTGAGGGCTCAAATCTGTACTTAATTAAGTTATTTCTCTGTGGAGGTCTTGGTAGCCTGGATCTTGAGCCAAATGGCTCCTCAATAATCCAAGGCTCACCAGCAGGTCTTGGAGAGGCAGACTAGCCACTGAGATCAGGGATTTTCTTAACTCAGCTACTGTTAACCCTGCAAAAGAAGGTGAGTTGGGTGTTTGTAGATGGACAGACAGTGGGAAGCTTGACAGTGTGAGCAATAGCAGTATCATCTACTCTATGCAGTATTATCTGGTTAACTCCAGCAATAATAATGTACACTCTGGGATTTCAAAGTTTGGGGTTTGTCAAAAAACACTTAATACTTTCTGGAATAAGATAAGCTGGGTGCATTCCTCCAGAGAGATGGTGCACACTCTTCTCCAGACAATTTTGGGGAAATTTCTACGAATAGGTGGCATGCATATATGGAGCACTCAGTATGGTTTGGATCCTTGAAAAAACCTTGATCGATTTCTGCATGTGTCAGACACCCAACTAATCAACAGAAAAATAAGTGATGACTAATTTGTCAGGAGAATTGTTGGTCTGAAAGTAGAAGCAAAAATGAAGTCAAATGTCTTCAGGTGAGATGAGAAAATTGGCAGAAAAATTACTTTTAAAGTCTAGATCTATTTGCTCCTTGTTGCCTCTGTGTATATGCATATCTATGCAACAACTTGCATTTATGTAGCATCTTTCACTCAGAATAGTGCCTCAGAACCCTTAATAATAATAATCCTTGCATTTGATATAGCGCCTTAATGGCAAGGAATGGCATTGGTTTGATTGCTTACCTGATCTCAGGTTGGGAAGCTACAGTCCCGACTGATACAACTTAGGCAAGTTTTGCACTGTATTTCTATCCATCTGTAGGTACCATCCAAACAAATCTATGAGCTCAGTAGTGGTAATTCTACCACTCACCACAAGAGGTCCCCATATGACCTTACTCTCACAGTAAAGTCCAGCAGTGAGTACAACAGAACACATGAGGAGTGTACACACACACAGAAAGGTTAAACCAAATGACAGTATATCGCCATGAATACTATTTATCGATCCTGCATTTGTACAAAATTGTTAAAGCTCAAGCTCTTGCTCTTGAATAATAATAATCCCCGCGCTTGATTTAGGCCATAACGTTGAAATGTTAAAAAGCGCTTCACAGGAAATTGCCATCCAATGTGATTGTGCTTGTCCTATCAGATGGCAAGGTTAGGAGTTAGGCACATCATCGTTCAAGCAATAACAGAATTAACAGAAGCCTAAGAGCAGGTTCCCTATTGGCCTCTTAGTCTGGGATTAGTATTCTGCATAAGGGGATTTAACAAGTGAGCGGCTAGAAGCATGAATTTGAATAAGATTTTAATAAATCAAAGGGCAAAAGGGTGGAAGAAAAGAGTAAGCGCAAGGATCTTAGGCAGGCAGTAAAGGATTCAAAATCAAATAAGTTGAGTATCTTAAGGGGTTGCATGCAAGCTTCACAGAATCCCTGGCTATTTCCTGTTTTGTTTACAGGTACGGCATTCAAATGTGTTAATTCAAGTCGGATGAAGATAGAAGTCTGAAGAGTTGACCTATTTTTCTCTTTCAGATGCTAATTGACCTTCTGTGGAATTCCAGAGTTTTGTTTTTATTTCAGATTTCAAGCAATCAGTGTGCGTCCCCCCCACCCCCCTTTGAAATCAGAATCCCTTTAATTAATCTGAATCCGAATCTCCAACTGGGGTTCTCTAGCTGCATTATTGGATGCACGTGTTGTCCTATGAATCAGACTATGATTACTATGATTGCATCTGGTAGTTTAGGTGGGTGTTAAATAAAGGTACTATTGGAAAGAAGAACAGAAATTTCCCACAGTCTCCTGACTAATATTTTCCCCCTCATCCAAATTCATGAAAAAAGTTATTAGATTGATTGTTCACCTCGTTATTTTTGCAGGAGTTGGAACCACAGCAAATATTCTCAGCCCTAATGTGCTGAGACTAATTAAGCACTCCTTGGTGTCACACTGACTAAATTCAACAAATGCAGCGTTGAAGGGATTTGAACTTGGGATCATCCAATTTGCTGAGGCTACATTTGACAACAAGCTATGGCTTTATCAAGTGAGCTATTGGGAGAACCACATGGTGTGATTTGGTCTATAGCTCCAATAATAAGTTGCAACTGTTCACTGCACATAATTCCACAATGGAGAATGGAGAATATTTGTGGGCAGAAGCTATATCTGTCTTCCAAGCATCTGTCCCTAAGAAATATTCTGAAATCATCATATTGGCCTAGACTCAGACTATCATTACAATTGCTTTGAAAAATTGCAACTATAAAAATGGAACTAGAAATGCTGACAATGCAATTATAACAATATTTTAAATCGATCATTGGTAGCTGCAATAATGGTACTGGATTAATCATCTCTACTAATGCATTCTGCATGATTTCAACTTGATATACAGACTGGAGTTGTTACCTGCTGAAGGGCAACATTGGAAAGAATTGTTGGCTTGCAAGCTGGAAATTCTTGGACCCAATTTCTGAGGTTCCACTGAGAATCTATTCCATGTTTTAACGTCAAAGGTAGCTCAGTCTGTGCTGCTGAGGCAGGGGGGAAACTCAATGTTGCCTGATGCAGGAATAAGAGGGTTTAACAGAGGTAATGGATAACAATTTTCTAGAAGTTTGCAATTTACCTTTTGGAAATAGGATCTCAGGACTTGTTTCCTGGACATTGGGAGAAAGTTTCTTCTCTTTTTAAATAGGATCTTTGACGTCCAACTGGACAGGCAAAAAGAATC